TCCTCCAGCAACCAAAGAATTCTCCAGTCTCTGCTATCCCTGCCAAGTATTATCGCGGGTGCTGCTGGCTGACACCAGCACTGATATACTGGAATTCTGAAGCCACATTGAAATGAAATTGTTGTGTTCAGGCACCTTTACCATGCACATTCATTCCTGTGGAAATCATTTGAATATAGGTGACAGTTGAAGCTACGTGTGTGTGAGCTGTGAATGTTTAAAAATAAGAGCAGAGAGCTGAGAACAAAGCTTGAGTACAAGCTGCAAGAAAGAAGGGATCGATGAGATATAAAAATCTCAAAGTGCAGCATCCTGGAAGATGATGGAGCTTTAATCTTAATTGTAGGTAACTAGTTGTTCCTCTGTGCTCTACACTGATTTAATTAAAAGCAGTATGCATTGTGAGGAAAAGCACTAGACTAGTGGCCAGGAAATCTGGATCCTAACCCAGTTTAATTAACTTGCTCTTTAGTCCTTAGGTAAATAACTTCTCATTTTTGGATCTCAGCTTCCTCACCTGTAGAGGAAGAATGTTGGACCAGATGATTTTTAGACAGTTCTTTCTACTTTATGATTTTATGAATTATACACAGGAAGTTAAAAATGTTTACACTCCATAGCCACTTAGAGTCTTCCTCATATATTCCCACAGTCCTGTCACAGATGTTTAGTGACCTTACAAAAAAGCAAGAGGCATTGGACATGCTTTCACAGAAAAAATATACCATTTCAAAAGTCTCTCCAATTTTTCTGGTCTTCACTACAGGACCACGTTTACTATAATTTTTTTGAAGTCATTGTGTTTTCTTTAACTGGGAAATCCCTATTTAAAAAACGATGAAAATCTGAATATATATTACAAATTACAAGATTCATTGCAAAAATGTCTTTCCTCCTAAAAAGGATTAATTTAGAAGTATCTTCTTCTATAACCCTTACTATTAATATTTATGGTTTCCTACATTTTTCCATACTTTTTTATATGTAAGGAAAATAAAGGTTTCCTTATCCTGCTGCAAAATCACTTCTAAATCACTTCAAAATCACTGCTGCAAAATGATTCCTATTTCAAAATAATTTCTAATCTCTTCTATTATTTTCTTTAGTTGATCCTTATTACTGTCTTGTTCTGTTTTGCCTTCTATTAGTAGCTAATTCATTATGTTTGTGTAAAGTTAAGAAAAAAGCTGTCGTGATGAGAAGGAAATATGGGTATGTAGAGATATCATTAATTATACTAATACTAAATTTTAAATATTTTAATCTTGTAGTCTCTCCTTTGTCCAATCCTCACTACACTCTCCATGAGGTATAAAAAGGAGTATTGGTCCCATTTTATAAAATTGAAGGCAAGTTTTCGACACTTTTCCTGACACCCAGGCTCAAATTAGACTGAAATACAAACCCTTTTAACATTTAACTAGCTATGCCTTTTTTAAATAACTTTATTGAGGTATAATTGGCATATAATAAGCTGTAAATAATTAAAATATACAATTTGAGAAGTTATGGCATATATACACCTGTAGAACCACCACCTATAATCAAGAAAATGAACATATCCATCACCCCAAAAAGTTTCCTTCTGCCCTCTTCCTACCTTCCCTCCCATCTCCACCTACCCATTTCCTCAGGGCCCCTTCCCCCATTTCCAGGTGGTCACCTATCTGCATTTTGTCCCTATAGATTCGTTTGGATTTTCTAGAATTTTATATAAATGGAATCACACCATATGTACTACTTGGATGGGGGAGGATCTAGCTTCTTTCACTCAGAATAATTATTTTGAGATTCATTCATGTTATTGAGTATATCAGTTGAGCATTCCTTCTTATTGCTTAGTAGTATTCCATTATATGACTATACTGCAATTTATTTTCCATTCATCTATTGATGGACATTTGGGTTGCTTCCAGTTTGTGCCTATTACAAAAAATGCTATGAATATTCATGTACAAGTCTTTGTGTGGACATATATGTTCATTTCTTTGGAGTAAATACCTAGGAATGAAATGGGTGGATTGTGTAGTAGGTATATATTTAGATTTTTTAATAGCCAAACTCTTTTCCAGAATGGTTGTATCATTTTACACTCCCAACATGAGTATATAAGAATTGCAGTTGTTCCACATCCTACAACACTTGATACAATCAGTGCTTTTCATTTTAGCCATTCTAGTGGCTAGGGTGTACAGTGATTGTAATTCAAACTTGCAGTCCTCTAATGATTAATGATATTAAGCATCATTAATCTTTTTTGGCAAAACGTTCAAATCTTTTGCCTATGTTTAAAAATTAGGTTGTTTGTCTTCTTACTGAATTGTAATAGTTCTTTATAAATTCCAGTTAGAAGTCCTCTGTCAAATATATGTTTTGCAAATACTTTCTCCAAGTCTGTGGCTTGCCTTTTCATTTTCTTTTTTTCTTTCTCTTTTTTTCTCCTGCCAAATTAAGCAGAACCTTTTCATTTTCTTAACAGTCTTTTTAAAAGCAGAGTGTTTAACTTTGATGAAGTACAGTTTATCATTTTTTTCTTTTACATTTTGTGCTTTTTATGTGCCATGTTTAAGAAATCTTTACCAAATCCAAGGTCACTGAGATTTTTTTTCCTGTTTTCTTCTAAAAGTTTATCATTTTAGCTCTTACATTTAGGTCTATGATTCATTTTTAGTTAATTTTTATATATGGTATGAGAAAAGGACCAGGGTTCTTTTTTTTTTTTTTTTTTGGCATATGCCATCCAATTTTTCCAGCTTTGTTTGTTAAAAAGATTATCCTCAACCCCACTTAATTGCCTTGGATTATTTATTTAAAATCAATTAATCATATATGTGTTGATGTACCTCTGGGTTCCCTTCTGTTCCATTACTTTTTTTGTCTATCTTTACACTTATATCACACTGTGTTGATTTCTGTAGCTCTTATAATAAGCCTTGAAATAAGACACTGTAAATCCCCAAACTGGTTTTCTTGATCACAGTCTTGGCTACCCTAGGTCCTTCGCATTTCCATACAAATTTTAGAATCAGCTTGGCAATTTCCACAAGAAGAAACTGCTAGCATTTTTATTGGAATTTCCTTGAATCTACAGACCAATTTAGACAGAAATGGTAACTTTAAAATATTGAATGTTTTGATCCATGAACATGATATATCTCTATTTAGGCCTTCTTTAATTTCTTTCAACAGTATTTTATAGTTTTCAGTATACATGTCTTTCACATCTTTGGTCAGAATTTCCAGGAAGTATTTCTTTTCTTTTTTTCTCTTTTTCTCTTTTTCTTTTTCTTTTTTTTTCTTTTTTTTTTTTGGCTGCTAAATGATATTTTTAAAATTTCGATTTCTAATTGTTCATTGCTAGTATACAGAAATACAACTGATTTTTGTATATTGATTTGGTATCCCACAACTTTTGGTAACCTCATTTATTTGTTCTAGTAGCTTTTTTGTAGTATTACATAGTATTTTTTTATGCAAATAAATGCAGTGTTACATCTTCCTATCCAACCTGGATGCCTTTTATCTCTTTGTCTTATTTCACTGACTACAACCTACAATATAATGTTTAATTGATGGCAATTTTTACAGAGTAATATTCCTGATTCCCAGGCTCACATTAGGCTGAACTACAGGACCTTTTTGAATTTAATTAGGTATTTTTTGGAATTTACCAAATCATTATTTATACTTCATTTTAAACTTTTCACTTTTCCAGTGTTCAAATATTCATTAAATACTTAAATATTGCAGAGACAGGAGGATCACTTGAGACCAGGAGTTTGATACCAGCCTGAGCAACATAGTGAGACTCCCATCTGTACAACAAAAGAAAAATTAAGTTCAAATATTGAACAACTACTATGTGCCAGGCACTGTGCTGGTTGTCAGGGAGAAAATGATGCACAGATTTGCAAGGTGCACAGGTGCAAGCACTGATGAAGTCTTGCCATATTACTGAGGAAGTTTAACAGTTAAAAGCACAGGCTCAGGGTTCAGTTGGCTTGGGTTTAAATGTTTCTTCTCCTTTCTGGTTGTTTGACGTTGGAAAAGTTAATTGACTTTTCTAAGCCTGTTTCTTCATCTGTAAAATGAGAGTATTAATAATACCTACTCACAGGATTGCTGTGAGTATTAAATATAATAATTAATATCTTAAAATCCTTAGAACAAGTTTTGATACACAATAAATGGTCAATAAATATTATCTATTATTAGAGGGCAAAATTAGTTCTTCACAGGGTAAATTTACAAATGACTGGTGAAGGATGGGTGTCGAAACATTAAGCATAAGAAGCCGTTTCATTTAGCTGCTAAGCACAGAGGCAACAGTGTTAGCGAAACCTAGATTTAAATCCTTGCTCTGCTGTTTACTGGCTGTTTGTCTTTGAGCAAACTATTAATACTTAAACAACAGCCAAGCCTGTGAAGTGCCTAGTGCAGTCTTTGGCACACAACAGATGTGTAATGGACAACAATTACTGACTCAGATGTCCTGTAAAGCAATAGTATCACCAACTTGTATTCATAATAATAATAATAACTCATTTATTAAAGCTTACCGTTTTGGACCCTTTGTTAGTTACTTTCGATACATTCTCTTTTATGCTTAACAACCCAGCTAGGTGAGCACAATCGGCTTCATTTTATGAGTGTAGCTATCATCAGTGGGAGGTTGGAGGCCCGGTAAGCGGTGGCTTGGAAACCAACCCTTGCCCACATAGGGGCTCGCAGTGTGGCATCTGTCGCCAGCTGGGCGCTCCACTTTCCGCTCCGGAGATGGCGCCGGGAGAGCCATGGAGTCCCTACTCTAGGAGCCTGCCAGGCGACACCTCTCCCGCAGCCACTTGGGCAAAGCCCTCTCCTTGTCCTTCGCCGCCACCTCTCCGCTCTCAGATGGCTCTCGGGGACCGACAGTCCACGCGAGTAGCGAAGTGTGTGAGTAGTGAGGGCTTCTAGAGAGGAACTTTCCGCCACCGTCTCCTGGCAACGCGGCGGGGGCGGGGCTTGCGTCACTGAGGTGCGACCGGGTCACGGAGCAAGCAGCGGCCGCTTGGAGGTCTGAGCGGCTAGCGGAAACGGTGCTGGTTGCCGCCTGGTGGGCGATGCCTTGAGCCTTGGGTGAGCTCCGCAGCGCCGTCCTTTCGCAGTGTCCCTTCCTGGCAGCTCTACGCCCCCGGGGCTGGGAGTAGAAGCCCCGGCCAGGCCTCGACTGCCAGGCCGGCTTCAGAAAGGAGATAGGCCCCGCCCTCCTTTCCAGGCCTCGGCTTACAGCTCAGGGCTGGCTTGGGAGGCCCTTTTGTGGGCGCCCGTCTCCCCAGCCTGACGGTTTCCAGTTGCCCGGGGTGGAGGCGGCCTGTCTCGCTTTGGGGGTGGTTCTGGGGGACCTGGAGAGAGTTTTTCCTCCTCGAGCCCAGAACGTTTTTTTGAATATTGCCGCCGGCGCAGTCAGTCGGCCACGGGAATTAGCTGTTGGTTAAAAGTCCAGGTGCGCTTGAGGAGGGGCTGAGGCGGTGAAGGAAGCGCTAACGGGAAGGTTGCCTGCGACGTTGCGTCCCCACGGTGCCGGACGCTCCAGTTAAGAAAATCTGTGCCTGGGACGATAGCTCAGAAATGGCTAAGTCAGTCTGCTTAGCCAGCCCCACATTTCTAAATTAGCCTAGGCTGCTATCCTCCCAAATCCCCTTCCCTTGTCAAAAACCAGCTGCTACCTTGAGACCTGGCTGAGAAGGGGAAAAAAAGTTTTCTTGCTATTAATAATTGTATTGATTACACAGAAGGAACAGAGAAGCCTTCTTTGTTAGTTGTGGAAGTTATTCCTTCAGTTGTCTCGTGTTACAAAATATGGATTTGTGATTATTGTTGAAATTCATCCCAACCCCCTTAGTATTTGGAATTTATGTGTACTTTTGTATTCTGACCCTGCCCTGTTCATGGTGTCATGATTTAGTTCTTTCCTCTGTCGTATTTATGAAGTTGCTGGAACACTTTCAATTGTTTGTAATTCTTAACATCTTCAGCACAAGGTTACTCGTTTTTACTCCCCTCTGCCGATTCTTCTTGCTATGAAATGAGCTCCAACTATTTAGCATTTTGTCTGGGGTATGAGCTGCCACGGACCAACCATCCTTAGTCGCTTCTATATTGAAGTCACCCCTCTGAGAAGTGATGCTTCCTAAATTTAGAACTCAAAAATAGTATAGTTTTCTCCTTTCAAGTTGTCTGGCTTGAAAGGAGACAGTTCAGTTCCTAAATAGTTTTCTCCAGAACATGGTTGTATATTTCAAAAATATGTTAGTTAGTTCTTTGTCATTTGGTGTGAGTTTTATATTTAATTGTGTGTAGCCTGGTGCTTCTTGGTTCACGGCTAAATACTAACACGTTCCTTCCCCTTCCCCCCAAGAAGGCAAGGAAGGTCCAGAGAACATTCTAGTGTATTTTTTGAAAATATGAAATGTATTTAGTAAACACACTGGTACTGTTAGAAATCCATATTTTTAATCTCCTAGTACTCTATCCTTTTGTAGTTTTTCTTTCTATATATTTTTTTTCTAATTAAAATCTTTGAGCCCAGAACAAGCATTCCAGACTCTGTAGTGACTCTGGCCTAATTGTTTCACTATTTATCTGTTACAACTGTTAATGTCTTGTCTTGAAAAATAGCTGATATCTGCTTACAGATCTAGAGTTTGAGTAAGCAATGAGTAATAAAGTAAATGGTATCCGTAGGGATCTAGTCAGTAGCACTTGGTATTTATTGCTTGTGTTAAAGTTAACAATGAAAACAGTGATTATTTCAATTCATTATTTCTAAGTGAAGATGATGCAGAATTTGAAGGAGAACAAGTTTCAGAGAAGTTTTCTAAATATTACAGTACAGTACTTGTCATTTAGTCATCTTGTTGCACTTTCATACTTTTCAGTTTTGCTTTAATCCTTTTATGAATGGATTATGGTTTAAGTTTTTAGGTATTTTTTTGTATATTTTGTTTGGTGGTTTTTGCTAATTACCCATGGTGTGATTTTTATATTTTTATAAGGAATATTTGAACTGCAACAATTCATTTATTAGTAAAAACTGATCAATTGTACCACCCACTAGAGAATGTGGCATTTTTGCAATCCTTGATGTTCTTGTGAGTTTCAAAATAATAGTTCTTTATTTAGAAAAATCCTTCAAATGCTTTTTAAGAATACATTTTTATCTTGCTAAAAAAGACTGTGTTATAGGTGGCACAAGAGTATGAGAGCTACTAGTTCTTTGAGAGTTCTTTACCAGAGATTTTTTTGCTGAATTTTATGCTAATGGTTTACAAATTATGTTCCTATTGCAATACTACTGTTCTATAATCTAGAGATATATTTTGTTAATATCAAATAATGTTTCCCAATTTATATAAGCATTAATTTAATGATCATTCAGTTAACATTGTGTGCCTGTGTATCTGCTAGAAGAGAGACTACAGCTGCTCTCCACAAGAAGCTCACAGAGAGGGCTGGTCAAGTGACTTAACAGATGTTGTATGCTATGACAAAAGGATGTGCAGTCACCAAACAAGGACACTGAAAAAGATGTGGCCGGTGACTAGAGTATGGCCTCAAAAGTTTTTATGAACATGCATTCTTTAACTGTGGTTTTATATTGTATAGATCACAGTCATATTTTTATTTAATATCCACATAGTGGTAGATGTTAATATTTATCAATATTTTACAGTTTTCAAAATAAACCATAATTTCCAGCCCCTTCCTCCTGAGCCAGGTTGAGAACCCATTGTTAAGGTGCTCTTGGGTAGTCTCTAGATCAGAAGTGGGGAACTTTTTCATGTTTGAAGGCTGGATTAATTTAGCTGTTACCAAATAAGGCTACATTCAAGAAACTTCAATTAGATATACTTAAAAGTGTACGTTTTATAAAAATCTACTGTGTACTTAATAATTTCAAAAAATGAAAACCATTTGTTAAAGTTAACTAACCTTTTAATGACTTTGTCATGTCTGCTTTTTGTTGGAAAGCATTTGAATATTTAGTTGCAGCATGGAAGTCTGTGGTTTCACTTGATCCTATAGATGGGTATCAGTCATTTGTGACCTTAAGCTTAGGTGTCTTGATTTGGGTTAGGTAGGAGAATGTAGATTCACAGCAATAAGTGGTTGAAGAGCAAGAAAGCATTTTTCAGGCATGTTGCCAGATGTGTGGGTATTCTGCATTTTTCCATATTTCAATTGGATCTTTCTTAGCATCAAACAATGACTTTAAAGTGTCATCTACTGAGAGCTAAATCAATTCCATGTGTAGTTCTTTAGGTGCCTTGGTGATAATCAATTAGGTGAGGCAGAAATGCTAATTTGAGTGTGATGTTATGATTGTCAAAGTCTGTGAACCTTTCATTGTATTCTTCAATTAATAGGTCTATAACAGCTGCCTGTTCTTCAAGTGGTTTGCATATATTATCCTGCTCATCAGTGACCTTTGCTAACTGGGAAAAATGTTCATCTGAAATTTCCTTTCCAAGCTTTTTTCAAAATGCTTGAATTTTTTATTTTTTGCCACATTTCATATATAGACGTAGTTTTACCTTGCAAAGAAATATTCAAGCCGTTTGGATTTGACATGATATCACATAGAAATGCTGCATTCCTATAGAAATCATCTTTCAGTAATTCACATTGCTGATTCTAATATTCATAAAATTTAGCTGTTCTCCCAGAAATAAAATTTTGACTGAAGAGTGTCCTGCGATAGCCAACACACTTTGGAATGATATGGCAAATCTACACAATACCTCATTGTTCAAGTTTAGCATGTTATGAAACCAATGATGCCCTGGAGCATTTGCAGGAATATAGTTAACAAGACTTATAACCTGTTGCAAAGTGTCACTTAAAATAGTAACTTTAGCACAGAAATTTTGCTGATGCAAGATACAAAAAAATAAATGACAGCATCTGGATCTGTTAATACTTTTTTTTTTTTACCTGTGCAATAAACCCCTCATGTTTTCCTGTCATGGAAGTTGCACCATCTGTACACACATTCACTAAATTTACCAAATTCAGTTCAACTTCATGATATTTATCTTGAAAGTTGTTGAAGATACCGATTCTCCGTGTTCTGCTTGCAAGAGTGCCCAAAGCGAGCAACGCTTCATAGCAAAGGAAATCTTCTGTTATGACCCCAATGAAGTATAAAATCTGCACTGAGTCAATAATATCAGTTGATTCATCCAAAGTGATTGAATAATATATATTTACCTTTTCAAGTATTGCATGAAGTTGTTAAGTTGAAGGCCATTTCATGCTGCTGATCAATTATGGTTCTCCTTGAAAGAGAGGCAGTTTGTACTTTGAAACGTTATCAGGGTCTAAACATCCTCCTGTAACTTCTCCAGTGCATTCTTTCACGATATCTACATCACTGAATGGCTTCCCTTTTTCCTTGACTATATAAGCTACCTTGTAAGTTGTTTCGGTGAGTGGCATTATTTCCAGGTCTCATTACTGCTTCAAAGAATTGTCTTTGCTTTTGCGTTTCATCTTTTAATTTCTGCAATACAACTGTAGGTGCCTCTTCCTCTAATTTAAAATATTTGTGGTCCTTATGAGTGTTATAATGCTGATGAGCATTGAATTTCTGTTGATATTTCTTTAGCAGAAACAATATAATATTGCAAGTCCCAATCCTTATTAAAAAATTTGTTTTCTTTCTTCAGTATTCTCTTGGTCGTCTTTGACATGATGGGCTGATAAGCAGACAGAATGTTTAAAAAACTGTCAAGCTGTGCAGCTATTCACAAATTTCACCTCAAACAGAAACACAATGCATCATTGTGAAAAGTTAATAACAGACTGGGGTACTTGACCCCTATAAACTCTCACCAACCAGCCTTGTGCAGTAGTGGCACCAGTCAGGTGGGGGAAGTTAGAACTAAATCATGAGTATAGCAGCTGTCAATTTAACCCTTATGCCTTACTGATGTTCTAATTATGCCTGTCAATCTGGGAGGATTATTTTGTTGAAACTTATTTTTATTCTTTGGTATTTTAAATATGTTTATTTTAAAAATAAAAATATAAAATATGAACAAAAATGTATTAAGAAAAATAAAAGGATTTGTTCTGTAAAATTTGGATTCAGTCTAATGGCTTCACTTAAGGACCTAGAAGGCCATAGGTAGCCTTAAGGCTACAGGTTCCCCACCCCTGCTTTAGAGACCTCCTCTAAGCTAAGATCTTTAATTGTTTCTCTTTGAATACAGTTGTTATAAATCCACTTGGCTATATTTAGAATATACAATTTTGCTTTCAGAGATTTTGTGTTTTTTTTGGTGACCTGGATCTTCCTCAATAACTTCTTTTCATTTACTTCTATCATATGATATTTATTATTGCTAAGTAGGCTCACATTCAAAATAGTAATTATTGAGTTTTTATTTTCTTACTACAATTGTACTTCTATACTTAAGGTAACTAAAAGAATAAACTTCAAACATAGTACATTAAATTTTAATACTAAAAGCAAAATTTACATATTTATGGCTATCAACTTTATATTTTAAAGTTGTATATTTTAAAGTTATAAATTTATTTTTGATTAAATGGTAAAGCAAGTTTCCTGCCAAAACTTTTCCTATAAAATTATTTCTATTTCATCTGGTTTATATGATAGGGGTAGTAATTTGGGTGAAATAAAATGATAGTCTTTGATGGGTAAAGTAGAATTTCTTGGGGAACTGGATTTTTGGGGGGCATTGCTTTTTTGATACATGCTAGAGGTACATATTTTGGGGGTACATGTGATAATTTGATACATTCATATGATCAAATCAAGGTAATTGGGATATCACCTTAAATATTTATCTTTATGCTAGGAACATTTGAATTCTCTTCTAGCTATATTGAAATGTACCGTCTGCTGGGTGTGATGGCTCACGCCTGTAATCCTAGCATTCTGGGAGGCCGAGGATTGCTTGAGGTCAGGAGTTCAAAACCAGCCTGAGCAAGAGTGAGGCCCCGTCTCTACTATAAATAGAAGGAAATTAATTGGCCAACTAATATATATAGAAAAAATTAGCCGGGCATGGTGGTGCATGACTGTAGTCCCAGCTACTCGGGAGGCTGAGGCAGGAGGATTGCTTGAGCCCAGGAGTTTGAGGTTGCTGTGAGCTAGGCTGACGCCACAGCACTCACTCTAGCCTGGGCAACAAAGTGAGACTGTCTCAAAAAAAAAAAAAGAAATGTACCATCAATTAATGTTAACTATAGTCACTCTACTGATCCATCGAATACCATGTCTTGTTTCTTCTAAGTGTATATTCGTACCCATTGAGCACGTTAATTTAACCTCTGTGTGCCTGTTTCCTCAACTATCCTGGTCCTTCATGTAATAAAATGGTTATTATTGGGATTTAAATGACCAATTCATGAATATATGGATAGTGTTTAGAAGAATGTGTTACACAATGGAAATGACTGATAAATATTGGCTACGTTTACTATTAGTAGTAGTAGTATTGAATAGGGATTTTGACATTCGGTTATTGAATCACTATGGACAAATACTAAAAATTTAGCTTACTTTCTATTTTAACCAGATTTTCAATGCTCACTAGTCTTGCAGATCATTATTTACCAAAGAAAAAGCGCTATCTAGAATAAACACATACAGCTCTTCTCTAGTCACAATACATAAAATTGTATCTTTTCAAACTTTAGAGTAAGTAGTTATGAAATAAATATCTTGTGATTAAATTTTAAAGTCAATTTAACAAATTATTGATCTATAATGATAATAGATTGTTAAAGTTAGTGATCTAACCTTTGAACTATATTTATATTTAGAAAACGAGTTATATAAACTCTAAAAACACCTAAAGGAGTTAAAGAGCAAAAGAGCTGCATTTTTCTTAGAAGAAAGTATGAGGTGGTTAAATTATCTAACATTTTAATTTTCTTAGGTTTTTTTCAAACCAGAAGTCTAATTTGTATATATTTTTAAATTAAAAATAAGTTGCATATTTACAAATACAGTAATTCAACAAATTTTTTTTAGCTGCTATAATTATATTGTGAGTATATCATAGAGAGTAAGACTGTGAACACTAGAATCTGGAAAACACAAGTTCAGAGTTCACTTCCACCACTTAGAACTGTGTATGTCACTTAACTCCATTTCCTTATCTGTAAAATAGGGATATAATGTCTACCTCTTAGGATTATTGTAAGAACTAAACAACATAATATATGGAAAATAGTTTGGAGTCTGACACATAAGCAGTCAGGAAATATTAGGAAAATTATATAAGGTAGAAAAACTTTGTCTTAAATATAGTCACTTGAATGTCTCTGCAAGTGTGTGTGTGTGAGTGTTAATGGTTTTTGATGTGGCAAAATTATAGAAATTAGAGGTTCATCGCCCTCCCAATAATATCTGGGTAAATCCTGTTTCCTCATTTAGCTATGTGAATCTGAAAAACCAGAAATATAAATCTTCACTTTAAAAATATAGCTATTTGAATAAATTCTACAGTAGACTCATGTAAGTTTACTCAACTCTCACTTAAAGCTATTACTAGTTCTTTACTTTTTGAAGAATAGGTATATTGCTGTTTTTATATTACATATAAAAGTAACTTTTATGTATATTTGACAGAAACTATGTGAAGCAACGCTCTTTCTGGATTTCGAAAGACATCATTTCATCATGGGACAGCAAATTTCGGATCAGACACAGTTGGTTATTAGCAAGTTACCAGAAAAAGTAGCAAAACACATCACATTGGTTCGGGAAAGTGGCTCCTTAACTTATGAAGAATTTCTTGGAAGAGTGGCTGAGCTTAATGATGTGTAAGCCTTGATCTTTTTTTATCTTTTCTCCCCATGACATATGCCCTGTATGTCATGGCTGTGTAAGAGGTAACCAGAGGTATTGATTAGTAAGAGTTAATGTTTTCAACAGCAGTTAGCAAATATTTGAGTGCCCATCATAAGTAGACTTTCTATGTAGCTTTTTAAAAATATGTAATGGAAACAGAAGAGATGAGAGGAACTTAAAATGAATTTGCAACACAGAGCACAGGCATATTGAAGCAATTCTAAAATACAACACAGCACAACATCTCAGCAATTGTATACTAATCGACTCTTGTTGGAAAACACTGAAGGAATGCATAACAGAAGGGAATATGCCAAGCAGCCACTCTAGAGAAAGACTCCTAAGATAGTCAAAGATAGCACTGAGAAGGTTTCTATACATCAATTAATTCATATATATATATGTTTATGTATCTTTTGTGTTTGTTTGCTGAGCCATTATTTTTCCAAAGAAATACATATATAATAATAGGTCATTTCTATAACAGGTATATTTCATTTGTTAATATTTTCTAATTAGCTAACACCTTTAAATCCCTACTTAACTCTTGAATAAATTTCTACGATGGGATGTAAATTTTTCTGCTTTCTTAAAAAACATACCTAATAGAACTTAGTCTTTTCTTTGCAAATTTATTCTTTATTATATCAGTTTTTATATTGATCTGTATAGAAGATATTATGATAAACTATACAGTCTGGGACCTGAATTGTCCCAGACTGCTATGCTTTTTAAATATTACTTTCTTTGCTGTTTGCTTTCTCCCCTAGTGACAGGTGTACAGATGTCACTTCTTTGTATTAAATCTTCCTCTAGCAGCATCCACATCTACCTTTCTTTACACACACACACACATACACACTCATTCACACTATCCTCCTGGAAGTATAATTAGAACTTAGTGGATTTGCCTCTTAAATGAGATCTTAAAGTGTCTCTATTTAGTGTCTTCATTTTAGCTAACATTCACTGAGCACATATTATGTATAAGGCACCTCTGCTGAGGGTTGGACATTTTAACTGAGGCCTAAATTGATTACTCAAGTAGCTGTCTGAGTCGCAAGCTTTTCCCACTATCCCACAGTACCTCTCCTTAAACCCCCCAAAAAGGCCAAGTAAAATCACCTAGCAGTCCAGGACCACTTAGTTAGTATATAAACTTACAATATTGTAGTCACTACTAATAGCTTAGGGTAAGATATATGAACCTACTACCTAGGCTTTATGACAGCTGTGGTAGGTAATAAGAGACAGTTGGCAATCTGGAACACGTTAGGTAAATTTGAAATATTATCTTTATGAACATGGTTAGAGACAATTGTTATTAGCCAGTTGTAAAGAATAAAGATTATCTTACAAGTTAAAGTTATCATAGAAGATGATTTCTTTTGAGAACACTGGATTTCATTCATTAAAAAAACACCTGTATGAAGGTAAATATATACAAATACTTAGAAAATAAACTAGAAGGATACACATTAACCTATATCCAGTGCTTGTCTATAGGTCAGGAAATGGTGAGAACAGAGAGCAGTGAGGGAGATTTTACATTTTGCTGTGTGTTGATGTATTATCTGATCTTTTATTATAAAAATGTCATAGGTTTTTAAATTCTAGCATTTTACTTATTTTTTAAAATCATCCAAATAGGAGTATTTGAAGCATTACTTCTGGGACCATATTCTTAAGGAATAAAATAGGATTGTGAATTTAATAATATCATAAGAGTGGAATGCTTTGTTATGTTTATGGTTCCTACTCTTGTGAGGAGTAATCAATGCCATTTACTATCCTTTTACAGCCTTGGAATTTTTATATATAAACCCAATCTATTATATAAAATTTTGCCTTTTAGCCTAAAGATACAAGTATTGGATAAAATGTGCCCTATGGAATCGTCCACAAGCTAAACTTGCTGTGTAATACAGAGATGATGATAAAGAATATCTTCTTTTTATGTATTTAGCACAGGACACTTCTGACTGATTTTGGTTCCTAAAACCAATTCCCATGAGTCAGAGTTGGGTGTTTCACAAGTGCAATGCTCTCTGAGAACTGCAAAGTTAAACTTACAGAGAAGAAGTATGGCTTGGTAGCTAGAAAACAGAACTGATCTCAAATTCCTGGCCTCAAGCAATTCTCCTGCCTCAGGCATGAGCCACCACACTCAGCCTAGAAAACAGAACTGGAAACTGACACAGCTGAAATATTTTCACTTAAAGACTTTGTTTCCTAAGACTAGTTGCTTAATTTTTTTTTTTTTTTTTTTTTTTTTTTTTTTTTGAGACAGAGTCTCACTCTGTTGCCGGGGCTAGAGTGCCATGGCATCAGCTTAGCTCACAGCAACCGCAACCTCCCGGGCTCAAGCAATCCTACCGCCTCATCCTTCTGTTGCTAGAACTACAGGCATGCGCCACCATGCCTGGCTAATTTTTTTTCATATATATATATATATATATATATTTTTTTTAGTTGTCCAGCTAATTTGTTTCTATTTTTTTAGTAGAGACGGTGTCTCGATCTTGCTCAGGCTGGTCTCGAACTCCTGAGCTCAAACTATCTGCCTGCCTCGGCCTCCCAGAGTGCTAGGATTACAGGTGTGAGCCACGACCCCTGGCCTAGTTGCTTAATTTTTGATGGCTTCATCTTATATAGCTGTAAGTCACTTAGTTGAGTATGATATTCCCACTGGTTAGAGAAAAATGTTAGTAATGATAAAAGGGAACTGCAATACTTAAGTATATCTTTGAACTGATTTAAAGGTGTTAATAGCATGATATTGAATTATCTTCTAAAAGTGTTATATTTTTATATTAGAATGCCCTGGGTCTCAAAGTTACTCTGCTAGAGGAGGACAGTAAGAGCTATAATTAAAGTATCTCAAATCATTTGTTTAACTTGACCCAGCCCCAAATTATCTAGAAAACAAAAACTTTCAAAGAGATGTGTTAATGTTGTTTAAACAAGGACTCAACCAAGAGCAAGATTTTTTCATGCTTTATATACATTAAGGCAATAGTCAAAATTTGGATAACTGAAACTAGCCAAGCTTTTTTTAAAGTACCTGATTTCTTAGACTTGTTTTTGCTAAATGTCTTTGTTAGAAATTAAAGACCATTGAGATATAGATATGACAAAAAGATTTATAAATATCATTCTACTAAGCTGTTGACTTTAAAAACCTTGGAAATTAAATTTTATGTTTATGTTCAAAACATGTCCTATCCCTGTTTTTAAGAATCTAGTTGTTACAATCATTGTTATTATTTCTCTTTATGTGTTTTCTTCATATTTCCTTCTCAATGTTTGAAAGTGTTTCTTGAATCTGGTTACATAGTGCTATTATTATATATGACTTGTCATAAAATTTGCATATGCATTTGTGTCTTTTCAGAACTGCTAAAGTGGCCTCTGGCCAGGAAAAACATCTTCTCTTTGAGGTACAACCTGGATCTGATTCCTCTGCCTTTTGGAAAGTGGTTGTACGGGTGGTCTGTACCAAGGTGAGACTGATAGAGACTTCCACTTCTAAGCTTAAACTATTTTTGTGGTTTGAACCACTTTGAAATGTAAAATGATATAGATACAAATGTTAATAATTTGTTGGAGTTTTTTTTTTGTTTGTTTTGGTTTGTTTTGAAACAGAGTCTCACTTTGTTGCCCAGGCTAGAGTGAGTGCCATGGCGTCAGCCTAGCTCACAGCAACCTGAAACTCCTGAGTTCAAGCAATCCTACTGCCTCAGCCTCCCGAGTGGCTGGGACTACAGTCATGCGCCACCATGCCTGGCTCATTTTTTCTATATATATTAGTTAGCCAATTAATTTCCTTCTATTTATAGTAGAGATGGGGCCTCACTCTTGCTCAGGCTGGTTTCGAACTCCTGACCTTGAGCAGTCCACCCACCTCGGCTTCCCAGAGTGCTAGGATTACAGGTGTGAGCCACCGTGCCCGGCCAATTTGTTGGTTTTGTAAAATATAGTTTTCATACTGTTATTGCCTTTCAGCTGTTTGAATGTCACCAGTTGTCTAATTGCTCTTATAGCATAGATTTTTATAATCAAATTCCTTTTTGCCTCAGCATCTCTATTATATCACACTTACCTTCTATCTCTATTTTTGGGTTTTTAGCTAACTATGGAGTCTAGGAAGGCACCCTGTTTAGCTCTTAGATGACCTTAAAAAATAATATCTCAGGAGATCATTTCTTTTAAGAACACCACGTTTCATTCATTTGAAAAAATAGAAAGGTTTTTGTTTTGTTGTATTTTGTATAATAGTAATTTTTAGCTATGGAATGGATTTTTCACCTTCAGTGCACTGTTTCTTACATCTTTACGTTTTAGATAATTGAGTATATCAACTGTGCTAAAAATATAATGGCAGCTGTCACAGAATATTAGCTTCATCCACCATTGAGTGGATTAGATTAGACAGTTCTTAACCTTTTTGATGCCAAAGACCTTTTGATGATAATGAAGGCATGAGTTTTATTAGGCCTCCTCCTATCCCAATCCCTGATCTAAAACAGACAAAGCAACAGCTAATGATCCAAATGTATATAAACCATAAATTGGGCATTCATGAATGTCCTGAAGCCCATTCCTGACCAACTAACCCATTAAAAAACCCCTGAGTGAAATTTTCCCTTTGAGTCACAGACCCTGGGGGTTACCCAAATAACATGCCACATTTCCTCAACAGATGATCTGTTTTACCTCTACTATGTTTCACTTCCAGTTTATTTAAACATTTGAGCACAGATATGCCAGGCACTAGGAATATATGATAAATAAGACAAATTACTATTCAAGTGGACTGTAATTATAGTTCGGGGCCATCTCACTTTCAATCCAGATTACCACAGATTCAGTATTAATCTTCACATTCCAGGCTCTTCTACTCCAAATTCTAATTTATGCTGCTGTGAGATTTGCCTTTCCAAAGCACAACTGTCATCAGATTACTGCTCCGCTTAAAATTCCTTAACAATTTTTCCTTACCTACAAAATAGTCCAAAGTCTTTAATGTGGCATTCAAGGTCCCCTACATATGACTCCAAACTCTCTCTTCTGTTTTATTCACGATTATCCCCTTTTACACTCTGTATTCTCATCAGGCTTAACTAATTTAAGACTATGTAATTGTTACTTTTCTACCTCAGTGCTTCTGCTTATTGAATTCCCTCAACTAGAATGTCCATTCCTTCTGACTAATGCCATCAGATACAAGTCACTGTAAACTCCTGTTAAGCCAGTTTAAACCAAAACAGTATTTATTTTCTCATTTATCAAGAATCCTAGCGATACAAGTGAACCTACCATTTGATCCAGCAATCCCATTGCTGGGCATCTACCCAAATGATCCAATGACACTCTACAAAAAAGACACCTGCACTCGAATGTTTATAACAGCACAATTCATAATTGCAAGGCTGTGGAAACAGCCCAAGTGCCCATCAATCCAAGAATGGATTAATAAAATGTGGTATATGTATACCATGGAGTACTATTCAGCTCTAAGAAACAATGGTGATATAGCACATCTTATATTTTCCTGGTTAGAGCTGGAACCCATACTATTAAGTGAAGTATCCCAAGAATGGAAAAACAAGCACCACATATACTCACCAGCAAATTGTTATTAACTGAACAGCACCTAAGTGGTCACATAGGTACTACAGTAATAGGGTATTGGGCAGGGGGGAGGGGGAAGGGGGGCGGGTATATACATATATAAGGAGTGAGATGTGCACCATCTGAGGATTGTCATGCTGGAGACTCAGACTTGTGGGGGGGGGGAATGGGCATTTATTGAAACCTTAAAATCTGTACCCCCATAACATGCTGAAATAAAAAAATAAAAATAAAAAAAAAATCCTAACTCCATAGACAAGCTCCAGGACTAGTTAATTTAAAGACCCAACAAATCTCTCTTCTGAACTCATTGATCAATATTAGGTCATATCACCTTCGTACACCTACACTGTCAGAGGGAATGTGATTACCATTATTGGTTAGAATAGACTAACCAGGATTGATTTCTGAGTCCCTGAGTCATTTCAGGGAGGGTGGACACCAAAACAAAATAAGGTTCAGCCAGCAATGAAAAGTATTTGGATAATCAGCCAATAGTTTCTGCTACATCTTTTATTTCTGTATGTCTCAACTTGATGTCTCTGTAAAGGTCCACCTCAAATACCATCTCATCCACAAAGTTCCTGAGTAAGCATTCTCTTACCTCTTCTAAATTCTAACAGCATTTTATTTATACTTCATAATTAAATTCTACATTAAAAATAAAATTATTTATTTAGGTTCTTAGTTCCCCTTGCTGATAGGAACTATGTTCCTGAGGATAGGAACTATGTCTAGATTTTCAATTTTACATCCCTTACAGCCTATAATACAGTGCTTTGTACCTGGTAGGAATTCAGTATATGTTGAATGAGCAAAAATCTGTTGAAGAGCTACTCTCATTTTAAATGACTGGGATAGGTTGGAATTTTCCTTGTTTATTGATATAGTATATTACCTAAATTATATTCACTTTCCATCTTTATTTCATAAGATACTCAGCTCTCCTTAAAGAGGCCAATATAAATTATAGAAAGCTGTGAGAATATGTTTACATCAAGTTTTGAGCCCTTAGTTTTCTGATGCTCCTCTTTGACAAATATACAATTAAGGTTTAATTTTATTATTAGTCAAATTCTTTTTTGCCTCAGTGTCTCAAACCATTACATCTGTATGTGACTAGTTTAAATATCTTCCTTAAAATAAAATTCTAAGTATTAAAGATAAAGATAATTAGATCTTCTGTGTGCTTTTTTCTTGGTTTTAGGTCTACTCTAAAGAAATTTTTTTATTTGCATTTCTTAGGTTCTTTCCAGAAGAATCTGAGAGATCAGTGTTTATATTAGAAAGTTAGAATTCAAATCCAACAGGAAAAACTGATAGGAGACTGAAAGTTTCATATTTCTCTCTTTTATATATATATATCTCAATTTTATTTATTTTTTTTATTTTAGCGTATTCTGGGGGTACAAGTGTCAAGGTTACATATATTGCCCATGACCCCCTCCCCTCTCGAGTAAGAGCTTCAAGTGTGTCCATCCCCCAAACGTTGCATATCTTACTTGTTGTGGTTGTGTATACCCAACCCCTCCTCCCCCCTCCCACCCACCTGACCCCCAATAAATGTTATTCCTATATGTCCACTTAGGTGTTGATCTGTTAATACCCATTTGCTGGTGAGTACTTGTGGTGCTTGTTTTTCCATTCATTTTTTTTTTTTTTTAGTTCCTGTTAGATAGTATTTTGTTTTTTTTTTATTTCGGCATATTATGGGGGAACAGATTTTAAGGTTTCAATAAATGCCCATTCCCCCCCCCACAAGTCTAGGTCTCCAGCATGACCATCCCCAGATGGTGCACATCTCACTCCTTATATATGTATATACCGCCCCCTTTCCCTCCCCCTGCCCAATACCCTATTACTGTAGTACCTATGTGACCACTTAGGTGCTGTTCAGTTAATAACAATTTGCTGGTGAGTATATGTGGTGCTTGTTTTTCCATTCTTGGGATACTTCACTTAATAGTATGGGTTCCAGCTCTAACCAGGAAAATATAAGATGTGCTATATCACCGTTGTTAGAGCTGAATAGTACTCCATGGTATACATATACCACATTTTATTAATCCATTCTTGGATTGATGGGCACTTGGGCTATTTTCACAGCCTTGCAATTATGAATTGTGCTGCTATAAACATTCGAGTGCAGGTGTCTTTTTTGTAGAGTGTCATTGGATCATTTGGGTAGATGCCCAGCAATGGGATTGCTGGATCAAATGGTAGATCCACTTGTATCGCTTTAAGGTATCTCCATATTGCTTTCCACAGAGGTTGAACTAGTTTGCAGTCCCACCAGCAGTGTAGGAGTGTTCCTCTCTCTCCGCATCCACGCCAGCATTTATTGTTTGGAGACTTTTGATAAAGGCCATTCTCACTGGAGTTAAGTGATATCTCATTGTGGTTTTGATTTGCATTTCCCTGATGATTAGAGATGTTGAGCATTTTTTCATATGTTTGTTGGCCATTCTTCTGTCTTCTTTAGAAAAGTTTCTGTTCAAGTGCTTTGCCCACTTTTTAATAGGGTTATTTGATTTTTTCTTGCTGATTTTCGTGAGTTCTAAGTATATTCTAGTTATCAGCCCCTTATCAGATGTGTAGGATGCAAAATTTTCTCCCATTCTGTAGGTTGTCTGTTTACTTTCATGACTATTTCTTTGGCTGTGCAGAAGCTTTTTAGTTTGATCATGTCCCATTTATTTATTTTTGTTGCTGCTGTGATTGCCTTTAGGGACTTCTTCATAAACTCTTTGCCTAGGCCGATGTCTAGGAGAGTGTTTCCAACATTTTCCTCTAGAATTCTAATAGTTTCATACCTGAAGTTTAAGCGTGAGTTGATTTTTGTGAGAGGTGAAAGGTGTGGGTCCTGCTTTAGCCTCCTACAAGTGGCTATCCAGTTTTCCAGCACCATTTATTGAAAAGGAATTCTTTTCCCCAGCATATGTTTTTGTCTGCTTTGTCAAAGAATAGATGGCTGTATGAGGATGGTTTTATATCAGGATTCTCAGAGCTGTTCCACTGGTCAATATTCCTATTTTTGTGCCAATACCAGATTGTTTTAATTACTACAGCTTTGTAGTATAGTTTGATATCTGGCATATTAATCTCCCATTTTGTTTTTGTTGCCTAGAATTGCTCTTGATATTCGGGGTCTTCTTTGGTTCCATACAAAGTGTAAAATTATTTTTTCTATATCTGTGAAGAATGCTGATGGGATTTTAATAGGTATTGCATTGAATCTGTAGATCAGTTTGGGTAGTATAGACATTTTAATGATGTTGAGTCTGCCGATCCATGAGCATGGAATGGATTTCCATCTGTTTACATCCTCTGCTATTTCCTTCCTCAGTGTTTCATAGTTCTCCCTGTAGAGGTCTTTTACCTCCTTGGTTAAGTATACTCCTAGGTACTTTAATTTCTTTGTTGCTATTGTGAAGGGAATTGAGTCTTTAATTTGGTTCTCAATTTGATTGTTGTTGGCATATACGAATGCCTCTGATTTCTGTGTATTGATTTTGTATCCTGAGACTTTACTAAATTCATTGATCAGTTCCAGGAGTTTCTTGGTTGAATCTTTGGGGTTTTCTAAATATAATATCATATCATCAGCAAACAGTGACAGTTTAATCTCTTCTGCCCCTATTTGGATACCTTTAATTCCACTTTCCTGTCTGATTGCTGTAGCCAGGACTTCCAGCACTATGTTGAATAGAAGTGGAGATAGTGGGCAGCTACCCTCTAACCTTATCTTCTCCCATTCCTCTCTCTTTCCTTCTGTTCCAACCTCTCTGGGCATCTTGCTGGACTCCTTATGCTCCTTGCTAGTTACACTTACGCCTAATATCCTCTGCACTTCCTATTTCTCTCAGCCTGGAATGATTTTCCTGCTAGTTTTCTATATGACTCATTTCTGTACCTTTTTCAGTTCTTAAATGTCACCTTCTCTGTGAGGCCTTCCCTGCAACCCCTCAACATTCCTTATCCCCTGTTTCATCTTCTCCATAACACTTATTTTCACCTAACCTAATCTGTATGTTATTTGTCTTCTTTACCTATCATGTAACTTGCATGAGAGCAGGAATTTTTGTTTTATACACATTCTATCACTTATGCCTGGAGCAATGTACATATTACCTATAACAGCCACATAATGAGTACTCAATAAATATTTGTTGCAGAATCCTATGATTAGAATAGTTACAGTGTGATAAACTTTGCTTTTATAGTACTAAGCTTGTATGAACTATTCCATAATTTCTTCTGTACTATGCAATTCCAAAGGAGGACTGGCCAAGTTTGCTCAATTCTGAAGGCCTATTTTTTAAGCCTCTATAAATTCCTATCACCTTTTAATTCTATTTAAATATTCTCTACGAGGTGGAATCTACCTCATGTCCAGTCTCTTATTACAAACAACCTTGTATATTTTCATCTCCACATAGATCTTACCTTCCCAAAGTTTAATCAACTTTTGATCATTAGAGTTGGTTCTATAATTTTCACAGTATGAAATCTGACTCATTCTTGATTCTCAGTATTTTCTTTCATTACCTTCTCAAATAGTAAACAATAAATATATTACAACTATTATGTTCATTCAAAATATTCAAATGTTGCTATAATAATGTTTTTAATATGTAACCTAATTACATTCTCACTTTGTCATTTCCCCATTTCCATCAACACATTTCATAATCTATTAATAACTTCAGTCACAATTTTAAGGCTCTATCTTTATATCTCTCCCTACATTATTCATTTCTTTCTAAATATTTTCTGATTTTGCTTGTTCCTTTTACTTTGATGTGCACTTAATAGATTTCTTTGTTTTTCTTTTAAACGTCTCCTACAGGGATAGTTTCTTTTTTTAATTTATTTTTTAAATTCAGAATATTACAGGGGTACAAACACTTTGGTTACATATATTGCCTTTGTACCACTCAAGTCAGAGCTACAAACGTGCCCATCCCCCAGACAGTGCGCACCGCATCCATTAGTTGTGAATTTACCCATCCCCTGCACTCCTTCCCACCTACTGGACATCTGATGAATGTTACTTCCATATGTGCACATAAATGTTGATCTATTAGTACCAACTTAGTGGTGAGTACACGTGGTGCTTGCTTTTCCATTCTTGTGATATTTCAAAGAATGGGCTCCAGCTCCATCCAGGGTAATACAAGAGGTATTAATTTATCATCATATTTTATGGCTGAGTAGTATTCTATGGTATTACCACATAATATTAATCCACTCACATATTAATGGGCACTTGGGTTGTTTCCACATCTTTGCAATTGTGAATTGGGCTGCTATAAACATTCACGTGCAGATGTCTTTATTATAGAATGTCTTTTTTTCTTTTGGATAAATACTCAATATTGGGATTACTGGATCAAATAGTAGTTCTACTTTTAGTTCTTTGAGATATCTCCATATTACTTTCCATAGAGGTTGAACTAATTTGCAGTCCCACGAGTGGTGTATGAGTGTTCTGATCTCTCTGCATCCATGCCAACATTTGTTGTTTTGGGACTTTTTGATAAAAGCCATTCTCACTGAAGTTAAGTTATATCTCATTGTGATTTTGATTTCCATTTCCCTGATGATTCGAGATGTTGAGCAATTTTTCATATGTTTGTTGGCCATTAGTCTATCTTCTTTTGAAAAGTTTCTGTTCATGTCCTTTGCCCACTTTTTAATTGGGCTATTTGATTTTTTCTTGGTGATTTTCTTAAGTTCTATATAGATTCTAATCATCAGCTCTTTATTAGATGTGTAGCATGCAAATATTTTCTCCCATTCTGTAGGTTGTCTGTGCACTCTAATGATAGTTTCCTTGGCTGTTCAGAAGCTTTTTAAATTTGATCAGGTCCTATTTATTTATTTTTGTTGTTGCTATGATTGCCTTTGGGGTCTTCTTCATAAATTCTTTGCCTAGGCTGATGTTATAAGAGTTTTTCCAACATTTTCTTCTAGAATTCTTATGCTTTCATGTCTTAGGTTTAAGTCTGTTATCCATCGTGAGTTGATTTTTGTGAGTGGTGAGAGGTGTGGATCCTGTTTCAGCCTTTACATGTGGCTATCCAGTTTTCCCAGCACCATTTATTGAATAGGGATTCTTTTCCCCAGTGTCTATTTTTGTTTGCTTTGTCAAAGATCAGATGACAATATGAGGATGGTTTTATATATGGGTTCTAGTCCTGTTCTGTTGGTCTATATCTCTGTTCTTCTGCCAGTACTCCACTGTTTTGGCTACTATAGCCTTGTAGTATAGCTTGAAGTGTGGTAGATTGTTGCCTCCCAATGATGTGCACTTAATAGATTTCATGGCATCTGTTCTCACAGTCTTCCATCCCATCTCCTGTGCTGACAGGAATTTTTTCACATCTTATGTCTTTCTCTGATTACTTTAAGTTCTTTATCTAAGAACATTACATCCTCACCTTACTGGCCTTACTCATTTCAAAAAAAGAATTATATTTTTCATTTTGTGCCTTTCTCAAGCCTTATGAAAGCAATCCCCTATCCTTGTCCCAAATATCTTCACATCTTAGGTTTATAAACTGGAGGGGGAGAAATACAACCTCTCTAGGCCAGAAGTTTCACTTCACATTAGATGAGTTTTTTGCTAAAGCTCAAAATGGCCTTTTGGGAAAAGTTCAACCATATTTTGTTAGGATTTACTTTAATGTAATTTTCTTGCTTTAGTTTAGAAGTTTGGGGTACAAAATAGAAGTTAAAGATATTCAAAAAAGCACTTGTTTCAGTTATAGTAGAATCAAATGTGGTTGTTGGATTTGAATAAATCATTGAAGTAAGAAATTCTTTAAGAATTAAAGTGAAAGAATTGTCAGTACTGATCTCTAAAATTTATTTCTTAACTCTGGGAAAGTCACCTAACCCCATCATGATGCCTAATATCTTACACAGTTATTTTGGGTATCAAATGAGATAAATTTGAGGAAGTACTTTGAACTCCACAAATGTAGGGGACATGGCATTATTCATTTATTCAGATTTCTGCTTCCTTATGCAATTTGCAAACCTTGAATACATTTTCCCTAGGATGATTGACTAAGTATTTGTTCTCTCTTTAAAAAAAAAAAAAAAAAAAAATTCGTCAGAGATATGATCAACTTTTCTTTTTTTTTCCTTTTCTTTGTATTTTTAGATTAACAAAAGCAGTGGAATTGTGGAAGCATCACGGATCATGAATTTGTACCAGTTTATTCAACTTTATAAAGATATCACAACTCAAGCAGCAGGGGTATTGGCACAAAGCTCCACCTCTGAAGAACCTGATGAAAACTCATCCTCTGTAACATCTTGTCAGGCTAGTCTTTGGATGGGAAGGTATATAATGCACAATTACCATATTTTACTTATTTTCCAAGATGCAAACCACTGAAATATCAATATATTTGCTAGTGCTCATTGTGATATCTTAAATCTTTTTGTTTCAGCTAGTGTTATATTTAAGATCAGTTTTTGGGTTATTCTGTGCTTCAGACAGTACCAAATTAAAGCTAATTTAAACATGTTCACACCAGTTGATGTTTCTCTTAAACTAGTCTGCAAGAATCCACTTTCTACACTGTATACTTCCATTTAATGACAAACGAGATAGTTAATGCCCCCCTCATAAAAGCCCTTTAAGGAATTAGGTCCAAGAATTTGGCAAAATCATCCCAGCTTTTCTTAAAAGTGTCTGACTTATTGGTGGATTAACATTTTAAATATTAGCTTCAGGACTTGGCAGTCCATTCAGGAATGAACTGAATACATATACTGAGATACCAGAAGGAAATGAAGTCAGCCAGAGTTTTCTCTGATGATGCTTGTTTACTCAGGCCTAATATATTATTGTTCTATCTAAACTTTCTTTTCCTTCTCTGTTATGTTTTTGGCATGTGAAAGCTCCCACCTGTTGCCATTTGACAATCATGACCATAATTTAAATTTGTAAATGCCTCATTGGAAAAAGACTTACGTGGGTCCAGACATGTTGACATCCTGTCTTATTGAAATACTGGTTAGACAGCAGAAAGCTATATTGACAATGTCCTTTACCTTAAAGTTAAAAATGTGCTGAGCGACAATCTCTCTTTTATTGCTCTATTTACAGTTGCATTTTCTGGTTCATTCTTTTACTGAGACAGGGTCTCTCACTCTGTCACCCTGGCTAGAGTGCAGCAGCATAGTCATAGCTCACTGCAGCCTCAAGCTCAAGCAGTCCTCCTGCCTCAGCCTCTTGAGTAGCTGGGACTATAAGTGTGTGCCACCACACCCAGATAATTTTTCTTTCTTTTTTTTTTTTTTGTAGAGACAGGGTCTCACACTTGCTCAGGCTGGTCTTGAACGCCTATCTGGTGCATTCTCATCAACTGGTTTTTAAGTACTGTGTTGTAGTTGAATTATATTTTCCATTTATCATTTCTTGGTTATCTTTAATAGAATTATTTGGTTTTCTAGACTTGGGCTATATGAGTGGTATTGACATGCCAAATGAGTTTTAGAACATTGTAGGTGGTGTTTAGGCTTATCCTTCCTATATTCTGTAAAGTTAATCTTTCAAAAATGAATGTGATTTCTGACTTTTTTTCTTCTCCCTCTTCAGAATGGTCATTTTTTAAAAAGTGTTTTAAAAGCTGAGGATGTTGTTAACCAGTATATTTAATCTATATGGTAGGAAGTGAAAATAAAGTAGTATTTTTTTCAGGTTGCAATCATCTTAATGAGAAAGGTAGAGGTGTTAACTGTTTTCATGTGCCCTCAGGACTGGAAACTCAATGCCTGATTGGTTTGTTAGGGCTGCTTCTTGTTTTTATATGTTTGTTGGTTTATGGTAATACCCTGATATGCTAGTTCATAGAAAAAGATTTTCCAAGTTGAAGAGAATCTTAAGGGGCATATATGTATTTCAGCTTTACATCTGATGCATAATTCTACTTATGGTTTACATTTATTGAATATTTACAGGGTATTAGAATTATGATGAGTGTTGTACATATATAAACTCAGTACATCCTCCTAAGCCATCCTCATAAGGAGGTTGAGATGAAGCTGCAGGGGGAAAATGAGAGAAAAGATTGATTAAATATAGCAGAGTTAATCTGATGGGAGTACAATTATTGGCCCATTTCAGATGAAGAAACTAAGGTTTAGCCAAATAAGTGTCATAATTAGAAATTGACCTAGCTGAGACTCACATTCAGGCCTGTCCGGCAATACAGCCATGCTCTAACTTCTGCATTATTACTTTATGGTGCGTAAAGATCTTGTGATAAAGTGCTTCTCAAACTTTAATATTCAGTGGTTTGAGGAGGAGCCTGAGTTTCTATTAAGCTCCCAGGTGGGGCCAATTCTGCTGATCCTCAGATAACACTTTGAATAGCAAGACTGTACCTAACCACCTTTTGCCAAGTTGTACTTTTACTTGCAAGTACAAGTAACACTGCAGTTATGTGAGACTCATTGCCTCAAAGTAGCAAGCCTTTTCATACTCAGATGGCCCTAACCACTATGAAGTTTTTCCTTTTGCTTTATATTCCTCAGAATAGCCAAAATCTGGCTCTCTTGAGGCAGCACAGCACAGACTCTAGAACCAAATTTCCTGTGTTCACTCCTAACTGTGTGATTTCTGGACAAATTTTTAAACTTTTTCTTCAGTTTCCTCATCTTTTAAAAGAGGTTGATAACTATAGTGTCTGCCTCAAACTGTTGAGAGAGTCAAAAGATGTAACATGCTTAGAACAGTGCCTGGCATGTAATAATTTATCTGTAAGAGTTTTTTATTATTATTAAATTATTACTGTATTCTATTTATTGTTCTCAGTGGCTGTGCCCTCTGGAATTTCACCAAACAAGTCTCTTCCAGTCTTTCGAATATTTGAAAACAGTAAACACACTCTCACTGAGCCTTCTGTTCTCAAGGATAAACATCCCCAGTTCCTTTGGCCTTTGTTTATATGGATCTCTTCTGCATACTGGTGGCTTTCCTGGATGATCCTTTATCTGTCAGTGTGCCTTTCAGAGTATGAAGCATGGAACTGAATACTGCAGTCTACAAGTGATCTAACAGGAACAAATAGAGCAAGCCTCTCCCTTCTTGTCACTGGGCTGCTAGGAAAGAAGCAAAAAAAATCAGTGAACATTATACAGGTTCCACTGGCTGTTTTTGTTTTTCTTGTTCTTTCTTTTATCTCTATTCACAATGCTGTTCTTTGTAGCCCTCTGTTCCTCACTTTTAAACTCCAACCTTCAGAACATTGTGTCACTCTTTATGGATTCAGTTATATTCTCTGTTACTGACACCCAAATCGACATCCTTAGATGAAGATTATAAACTCCTCAAAAGCAGAGACCCTAATTCATCTAGGTCTAGACCTCTAAAAAGCACTTAAATGTTGAACTGAATACATATATTTCTATAAAATTCAGATACATTAGATCCTCATCCCTCTAAGTTTTCATTCAGTTTCCCCATTTCAATTCAGTGGCTGCTCTCTTTTCATTACTGAAGCATAACATTTAATCAATTACCTCCACAGCTTTGTGTACTAGATGTCCTCTATCAAATCCCTTATTTTTCTATCTCATCTTTCCAACAAGTTTGAGATACACTCATCTCTTCCTTCTTTACTTAGCACTTACTATGTGTAAAATACATTTGACATTTATTTGTATTATGTCAAAATCAATTTAAAAAAAATTTTTTTTATTTCAGCATATTACGGGGATACAATGTTTAAATTATGTATATCGCCCTTGCCCCACCCAAGTCAGAGCTTCAAGCATGTCCATCCCCCAGATGGTACGCACTGCACCCATTAGGTGTGTATTTACCCATCCCCCATCGCCCTCCCAGCTACCTGACACCCTATGAATGTTATTACTATATGTGTACTTAAGTGTTGATCAGTTATTAACACCAATTTGATGGTGAGTACATGTGGTGCTTGTTTTTCCATTCTTGTGATACTTCACTTAGTAGAAAGGGTTCCAGCTCCATCCAGGATAATACAAGAGGTGCCATATCACCATTGTTTTTTGTGGCTGAGTAGAACTACGTGGTATACATATACCACATTTTATTAATCTACTCATGTATTGATGGGCACTTGGGTTATTTCCACATCTTTGCAATTATGAATTGTGCTGCTATAAACATTCTAGTACAGATGTCTTTTTTTATAGAATGTCTTTTGTTCTTTTGGGTAGATGCCCAGTAATGGGATTGCTGATGGAATGAATGGTAGTTCTACTTGTATCTCTTTGAGGCATTTCCATATTGCTTTCCACTGAGGTTGTACTAGTTTGCAGTCCCACCAGCAGTGTATGAGTGTTCCTATCTATCTGCATCCAGGCCAACATTTATAATTTGAAACCTTTTGATAAAGGCCATTCTCACTGGAGATAAGTGATATTTCATTGTGGTTTTGATTTGCATTTCCCTGATGATTAGAATGTTGATAGAAAAAAAAATCCTGTCAAAAAAGAAAAAAAAAAAAAAAAAATGTTGAGCATTTTTTTCATATGTTTGTTGGCCATTAGTTATCTTCTTTTGAAAAGTTTCTGTTCATGTACTTTGCCCATTTTTTTGAAAGAGTTGCTTGGTTTTTTCTTGCTGATTTTCCTGAGTTCTATATAGATTCTAGTTATCAGCCCTTTATCAGATGTGTAACATGCAAATATTTTCTCCCATATATTTTATCCCATTCTATATGTTGTCTGTTTGCTCTTGTGATAGTTTCCTTGGCTGTGCAGAAGCTTTTTAATTTGATCGGGTCCCGTTTATTTATTTTTGTTGTTGCTGTGATTGCCTTTGGGGTCTTCTTCATAAATTCTTTGCCTAGGCCAATGTCTAGAAGAGTTTTTCCAACATTGTCTTCTAGAATTATTATAGTTTCACGCCTTAGGTTTAAGTCTGTTGTCCACTGTAAGTTGATTTTTGTGAAAGGTGAAAGGTGGGGATCCTGTTTCAGTCTTCTACATGTAGCTATCCAGTTTTCCCAGCACCATTTATTGAATAAGAATTCTTTCCCCAAATGCATGTTTTTGTCTGCTTTGTCAAAGATTAGATGGCTCTATGAAGATGGCTTTATATCTGGGTTCTCAGTTCTGTTCCGTATATCTATATCTCTGTTCTTGTGCTATTTTAGTTACCAAAGCCTCGTAGTATAGCTTGAAGTCTGGGAAATTGATGCCTCCCAATTTGTTCTTTTTGCTTATGATTGCTTTTGCTATATGGGATCTTCTCTGGTTCTATACGAAGCATAGAATTATCTTTTCTAGATATGTGAAAAATGATGTTGGTATTTTAATACGGATTTCATTGAATCTGTAGATCACTTTGGGTAGCATAGACATTTTAACAATGTTGATTCTGCTGACCCATGAACATGGTATAGTTTCCCACCTGTTCACATCCTCTATTATTTCCTTCCTCAGTGTTTCATAGTTCTCCCTGTAGAGGTCATTTACCTACTTAGTTAAATATATTCCTAGATATTTTACTTTCATGGTTGCTATTGTGAAGGGTATTGAGTCTTTGATTTTCTCAGTTTCACTGTTGTTGGCGTATAGGAATGCTTCTGATTTCTGAACATTGATATCGTAACCTGAGACTTTGCTGAATTGTTTATCAATTCCTGTAGTTTCATGGCAGAATCTTTGGGGTTTTCTAGATATCAGATCATCTAGACAGAAAAGAGCAATAGTTTGATTTCTTCTTCCCCCATTTGGATACCCTTGATTTCCTTCTCTTATCAGATTACTCTTGCTAGGACTTCCAGCACTATGTTGAATAGAAGCAGTGATAAAGGGTAACCTTGTCTGGTTCCAGTTCTAAGTGGGAATGCTTTCTGTTTTTCCCCATTCAGTATGATATTGGCTGCGGGTTTGTCATATATGGCTTGTATCATTTTTAGGTAAGCCCCACCTATGCCTGTTGTGTTAACCATTATCATAAAAGGGTATTGAATTTTGCTGAATGCATTTTCTGCATCTATCAAGAGGATCATATGGTCTTTGTTTTTGCTTCTATTTATGTGGTGAATTACATTTATAGATTTGCAGATGTTGAACCATCCCTGCATCTCTGGGATGAAGCCCACTTGGTCGTGATGGATTATGTTTTTGATAAGCATCTGAATTCGGTTTGCTAGGATTTTGTTAAGAATTTTTGCATCTATATTCATAAGGGATGTTGGTCTGTAGTTTCCCTTTTTGTTGCATCCTTTCCTGGTTTTGGTATTAGGATGATGTTGGCTTCATAAAATGTGTTGGGGAGGATTCCTTCCTTCTCAATGATGTGGAATAATTTCTGCAGGATAGGCAACAGTTCTTTGTAGGTCTGGTAAAATTCAAGTATGTAACCACCTGGTCTGGGACTTTTTTTTGTGGGAGGTTTTTATTGCTGTTTCAATTTCAGTACTTTATACAGGTCTGTTAAGGAATTCTTTCTTCCTGATTGAGCTTAGGGAGGCTGTGTGTTTCTAAGAATTTGTCCATTTCCTTCACATTTTCCAGTTTCTTCTATGTGCATAGAGGTTATTATAGTATTCATAGATGATATTTTTCAGCGTCATTATAGTCTCATGGGACCACCATCATCTATGCAATATCTGTCATTGACTGAAATATTATGTGATGCATAACTGTGTAATTTATTCATCATGTAGGATACAAAGCTCTTTAAAATATGAACCCTGCCATGAAGGCCTAATAATGCTGATGCTGATAATGGGCAATAGGCTATGCCATATGCCTAGGTGTGTAGTAGGCTAGACCATCTAGGTTTATCTAAGTATACCCTGTGATGTTTGCATCACAGACGAAATCGACTGACACATTTCTGGAGACCATATCCCCATCATTAAGTGACACATGACTATATATTGGTTGAATTCATTTCTGTAAATTCAATATGATTAAAATGGGCTGAGTTATATTCAGAAAGATCTGAATATTTCAGTTTTGGGGGCCGTATTGTCTTTAACCATCACAGAATTTATCCAGTCTTTCTTATGAAATTTACCCATCTTAGTACTTCTTCTCTTTCCTATCCCTAAAATATGTTCATTTAAATCTGATTTAGCATTAGTCATATTGTGCTTTATATTGTGGACCCGGAGATGCTTAATAATGCTTTTTAAGGCAACAAAAACAAATTATGATGCATAATGACATAGAATATCATTGTTTCAGCTCAGTTTTCACATTACAGGGTAAAGCAGCTGACCGATGAGGAGGAGTGTTGTATCTGTATGGATGGGCGAGCTGACCTCATCTTGCCTTGTGCTCACAGCTTTTGTCAGAAGTGTATTGATAAATGGTAAGTTATCTACTGCTCTCATGGGATAGGCAAAGGTCAAGTGGGATAGTGTATATGAATAAACTTTGAAAAGTACGAAAATATTGTAGTTAAGTATGAAAGATTTTTTTCTTTAGTATTTTGAATTTTATGGCATGCCTCCTGGTTAAAAATATTTTTATACCTGAAGTTTATAAAATGTGGGGATGTAGCTTAGTTTTGACATTTTACTTTTGCCGTAAAGAGATTTGTGCCTGACTTGAGTCTAGAGTTAAACATTTCCCTTTTTCTTCCTTTTTCTTCTTATTTCTACATTTATTCTCTATGTGTTTTTAGAAGAAATGAATTCTTGAATATTGGAACTGGAAGGATCTTTAGAAATCAGTAGGAAACCTCATTATTTTACAAAATAAGAATTGAGCATTTAGGAGAATTTAGAAAAGACATGAATAAACTACATATATTTAAAGTATATTTTGATATATTTGGACATATGTACACACCTATAAAAACTATCATCACAATCTAGGTATTGAACAAATCCATGCTCCCAAAAGTTAATTTGTGCCCAATCTTAAAGCCTCCTTCTCACACCTTTTCCCTAGTCCCTAGGCAACCACTAATTTGCTTTTAATCACTATAAAATAATTTGGATTTTCTAGAATTTTTATAAATGGAATCATATGTAGTACTCCTTTTTGTCTGGCTTCTTTTATTCAAGATTTTATTCAATCTTATCTTAAGATTTATCCATGTTGTAGCATGTATCAGTAGTGCATTCCTTTTTATTGCTGAGTAGTATCTATTACAATGGGGATACCATAGCTTGTTTATCCATTCACCTGTTTATCCATGTTTATCCATTTTGATTGATATTGGGTTTAATAAACATATCAGTTTGGGGAGAGTTGATTTCTTAACAATATTGAATCTTCCAATCCTCACACAGTGTATTTCTCCATTTATTTAGGTCTTCTTTAATTTCTCTCAGCAATTTTTATAGTTTCCAGTGTTGCATATTTTGATAGATTTATCCCTAAATGTTTCATACTTGTGTGCTATTTTAAATGGTATTTTTAATTTCAATAGGATTTCAATGGGATTTTCTTGAATGTCTAAATATCATTTTTCAGATGTTTTTTCTGATACAAAATTCTAAACTGAGAGTATTTTTTCTTTCAGTGCTTTAATGATGTTCCTCCACTCTCATCCTGGTTGCATTGTTTCTTTTTCTTTTTTTTTGAGTCAGAGTCTCACTCTGTTGCCTGGGCTAGAGTGCCGTCGCATCAGCCTAGCTCACAGCAACCTCAAACTCCTGTACTTAAGCAATCCTTCTGCCTCAGCCTTCCAAGTTGCTGGGACTACAGGCATGTGCCACCATGCCCAGCTAATTTTTTTTATGTATTTTTAGTTGGCCAATTAATTTGTTTCTATTTATAGTAGAGATGGGGTCTCGCTCTTGCTCAGGCTGGTTTGGAACTCCTGATCTTGAGTGATCCTCTCGCCTCGGCCTCCCAGAGTGCTAGGATTACAGGGGTGAGCCACCATGCCTGGCCACATTGTTTCTTATAAGAAATCTGTCATCCTTATCATTTTTCCTCTCTGGGTAATGTGCCTTTTTCCCCTTCTGCTTTAAGGGTTTTTTTCCCCCCTTTTCACTGGTTTTGAGCACTTTGAATATGATGTGCTTTAGAGTAGTTTTTTTCATGTTTCTTATGCTTGGGGTTTATTGAGCTTCTTGGATTTGTAGGTTTATGTTGTCATCAAATTTGGAAAATTTTTCAGCCACTATTTTTTCAAATTTTTTTTCTATCCTTTTCTCTCCTCTCTCCTGGGATTCCAATTACCATATATTAGCTTATTTTAAGTCCCATAGCTCACTGATGCTATTTTTCTTCATTTTTCTTTTTTGAGTCTTTTTCTCTGTGTTTCCTTTTGGATAATTAATATTGTATCTTTTCAAATTCACTAATCTTTTTTTCTGCAATGTCTAACTTTTCATTAATCCTACTCAGTATATTTTTTAACCTAAGATAGTTTAGTTTTCACTTCTAGAAGTTTGCGTTTTTAATATCTTCTATGTCTCTACTTAATATCTTATATCTTTTAGTTTTTTGAATATATGGAATTGTTAGAACTTTTAGTTTTCTTTTTATTCTAATATCTGTATCAGTTCTGTGTTGTTTTGATTGATTTTTCTCTTTGTTATAGGTTATATTTTCCTGGTGCTTCTTTGTATGTCTGATAGTTCTTGATTTGATGCCAGACTTTGTGAATTTTACCTTTTTGGGTATTGGATATTTTTATATTACTATAAATATTCTTGAGCTTTGTTCTGGAATATAGTTAAGTTACTTGGAAACAATTTGATCCTTTTGGATCTTGCTTTTACAAGTTGTCAGGCAGGACCCAGAGCAGTATTTAATTCAGAGCTAATTATGCCCCACTAATGAGGCAAGATCCTTCAGAGGACTCTTCTCAATCCCTTAAGAATTATGAGGTTTTTCTAGTCTTGCTGGTGGGAACAGGCAGTATACCAGGCCCTGTGTGAGTGAGCTTTAGAATACTGTTCGTCAGATCCTTTTGAGTGATTCCTCAGCCTCCTATAGTTTTCTCACGTGCACATGCTCATCAGCACTCTGATGAATACACTGGAGGGGGACCTCTGTAGATTTCCAAAATTCTCCCTCTGTGCGGCTCTCTAGTATGCTGTCCGGTGAACTCTAGCTTCCTTGGCATCCCGAAATGCTTAGCTCGCTCTCTTCAATTTAGGGAGTTTGCCAGGCTCCATCTAGTTTCCCCTTTCTTACTCTCCAGGCTGTTAGCTGGGGCAGTTTAGTTATATGGCTCACCTTCTTTGCCTCTCAAGTCTCAGGGATCACTATCATTTGTTGACTGTTGTCCACTGCTTTATATGAAACATTATGTGAAACCATTATTTCATATAGTTTGTCCTATATTTTAGTTGCTTTATGTGGGAAGATAAATCTGGTCTCTGTTGGCCAGAAGCAGAAGTTGACTATTTTTAAATTGTGACGTTTTGAGGCACAGAAGAGCACACATAATTATCTTGTAAAATATCTCTGGAGAATAAGAAATCAACCTGAATAATATATGCCAGCTCTAGCTTTCACATTTAGTTTTTGGAACAGATTTCTAAATTTTTGCACAAAAGCCAAAGAGCAATTGATATAATTTGATTACTTTGATCCCTGATTTCACTAAGAGATGAAAAGAAAAAACATTTTCCCTACAGGATATATTTCTTGCTCAAATATGGTATTTTTGAAATTTCCAAAATAATGTTTGACCAAAAAAAATTCCTTTGGAAAACATAGTTGTATTTAAGTTATCATATATGAGTTCTTTCCCTGTCAGAAAAATTAGTCTGCATATAAAGTTCATCTTTTATGTTAAACCTAATATGCTACATTTTTATACAATTTCTTAAAGAAATCTTCCTGTTGCTTATGAACCACAGGAATTATCATACCTTTAAGCAAGCAATAAGTAGGTATATTGTTCAGTCATGTAGATATTACTTGGAAAAATAATTAATAATACCCTTTCTTGTCATATTCCCCTGCCACTGCCAAGAAGTTATTCCTAGAGTAATAGCTTCATTTAAATAATTACAATTAAACATTTACATCTTATAGTTTAACCAAATCTTTCATTGCTAAGAAGGAGTTTCCTCTTAGGATTCACAAGGAATTTTTATTGTAAAGGAAAACTTTCCCTATTTAGGTACAGAGATGTGAATTGCAGCATTGTTTCTAGCAACAAAAGACAGAAAAGAACCTAAATGTCCTTCTACAGGAGATTAGTTAAATAAATTATGGCATATCCATACAGTGTATGTTTAAAAAGAATAAACAGCTCTAACATGTGCTAATACATAATGGTCTACAAGATATATTGACAAGTAAAAAGAACAGTGAGATACACACATACACACAAGCTTAATCATGCTTAGTCTGTCTGTAGAGGAACATATAAAAATCTGATAACTGCGATTGCCTATGGGGATAAGAACTGAAGATTGTGATGGGAAGGGAGAGATTTATTTTTCACTGTATACTTTTATGCTATTTACTTTTTTTAAAACCACATGCAACATGTATTACTCTTCATACAAACTGCTGTTTTTAAAAAGAAGAAAAAGAAAACAAACTGTTCTTGTTTTGACTTCTCTAATAGGAGTGATCGACACAGAAATTGCCCTATTTGTCGCCTACAGATGACTGGAGCAAATGAATCTTGGGTGGTGTCAGATGCCCCCACTGAAGATGATATGGCTAACTATATTCTTAATATGGCTGATGAGGCAGGCCAGCCCCACAGGCCATAACCTTGGGGTGAACGTCTTCTGTTGCTATTGTGGGCTACAGATACTTTGGTCATGGGGGAAGAATGCAGGGTTATTGTGGCACAGACATAGAAAAGTCAATTTTCCCCACCCTCTTATTTTTTTCTATTCTGACAATTTGTCCTATTTTTTAAAATAAACTTTCCATGTCTTCCATTTATGGTAAACTAAAATTTGCTACTGTTTTAGACCATATTTTCATATTATTTATCTGTTCTAATATGTATTAGAACTAATTGCTCTTGAATCTTTTGCTAAAGGTAACAGCAACATTTCCAGAGGCTTCTGAAATACTATTGTTTTTCAGGGCAGGAGTATTCTGGAATCTTTTTAGTTAGGTTTAAAATAAACCTTTAATGTTAAAAAGTTGTATCTGACAGAAAATTTTAAATGACTAAAAATGTAGACTACATCTAAATACATGTTACTACTAAAAACTAGTCTTTCTGCTGGAATTTAAGGACTATATATGCCCTCTTGTGGTTAATTATTGTTCCTTTAATAATTTTTACTTGAAATGACCCACAATTATTTCATAACTTTAGTTGTGTGTTTTGGAACTACTGTACATGTTTTTTACTTAAGGTGTTTGGTTTTTTGTTTTGGTTTGTTTTTTGCCATGCTGTACAATTTGGGTGAGGTCTCTTAAGTTGGGTGTGACATTGCCTTGCAAATGGATGTCTGCTGGGGAATATTCTTGGCTGTTCTGGAAATGCTTTCCTACAACTGGGTATCTACTGAATGGTTTTGATAATGCTCACACAACTTAGAGTTTCTGAAGGAAATTTTTCTGTATCACAAATACTAAATTTTATTTTTCCAAATTATGATAAGTCATTCAATATTGGTTTATGGTGCTTTTATTTTCTTAACTTCAAGGCATCTTTCTGAGGTTTCAAAGTCCACATATTTCTTAGATTAAGAGAGAAATAGGGCGAGGCTTTTTCACTGTATATACATAAAACATCTCTGAAAATTAAAAGATAATTTGGCTTTCTTACTATTTCACTGTACTTCCTTTGAAGTATTCTGAAAGCATATAGTAATAATGGAATTGTGATCTTTAGTAGCACCTCAACCATTCTTTATCAACTAAAATTTTTAACATAAACATTTCAGCATATAACAAGAATCTGTCTCCTTTAAAAAGTATTTTAATATTCCATGTAACTTTTCTGACCTATAATTATTGATAAGTTGCCAATATCACTATTTTCCTAACCCAAGGTACTCTATTTAAATCACTGCTTATTGATGACAGAATTTTTGGATACTAAAATTATAATAGGCATGCAAATAAAATAAAATGCATTACAAGAAAAAACATCTGCCTAAAGGTAGCTTGATTTTACCCCCAAAAAGAATACTGAAGACTAATCCATTGGCATTGATGGGGACAGCTGACTACCAAATAGCCAAATATTCACTATGATGGAGGTTTATGCAGAGTACTTGGAGTTCTGTCATATCAACCTGGCAATACACTTGGTTATATGACTTTAAGATAAAGTCTCTTACTCTTATTTGTAGGTTCCTGCTTTAGAAACTGGGACTTTTTCTGTAGTTTTGACACTATTTTAGCAGTGGAACCTTTTTTTCAAGTAAAATCTTACACACAACCCTTACACACACATGTGCATACACATATCCTCTACCCCACTATATAAAATTCATGTTTTACTAATATAAATTTCCTTATGTATTATATAAACTTTATATACTGTGGTAACTAAATATTAAGTAAACCAATAAAAACACATATTAATGCATTGGTGATATTGAGTATATCTGAATTCAGTGAGTAGCAGATTTGTATGATGGGAATTGGTTTTTAAATTTCTTTAAATTCAAGTCAAATTTGCAGAACCTTGAATCTCCTCCATGGAACTTTAGTATTCCATGGAACATATTTTGAAAACCTTGGGTTAGATGATCCTCTGAGGTCTTTTCCAACTCTATGATTTTAAATTGTCCTTTTGGATTAGACTTGCTGAATTTAATTCAGATTGCTTAATTTAAAAGTTTCTTAAAATAAACAAAGTAACTTTATAGAGTTTGGGACCTTTCCAGGTACGGTCAATGATTTTATCCCTCAGAGTCCTTCACCTTTCAAGGAATTATTTAACAATGAGCTCAGTGACTTAATAGTGCACAAACCATTTTACCATGTTAGCTCAAAGACACTAACTGATCTACTGTGAAATGTAAATGTTTTTATTAGCCTTATCAAATGAGCACAGTTCTTTGCTCACTCCATAAAACTGGGTGATGATTCCTTAGATTTGAATGTTAGGTAGGTTCTGCTGTAATAACTAATCGTAAAAGTTGTAAATTTGTTTGATGGATGAAATGTACACTTTTTGTATTCTGTACAGGTTTTTCTTTTTTAAACATAAAGTACTTAAATGTATTTATTATGATAGGAAATATGTGTGCCTTCTAGGATTTGTGAAATGGTTTCATAAACTCTTAAGGAATTTGTTTTATATGTTATGAAGTTTTCCCTATCCTGACTCAATAACAAAGGGTTTACTCATATTATAATGCTATAGAACTTTAGTTTGAGAAAATGGATTTGACTTTATGTGCTGAATTTAGAGGTTGAAAATAATAGTATCTGTTTTATTTTTAGGACAAACTGTGCAATAAATAATCTTTAGCAAATAAATCTCAGCTATTTGAGTTTTTTTCTTATGTAAGTTCATATTCTTATATACTAAATCTTTGTTCCTTAGAGCAGCAGTGCCCAGCCTTTTTGGTACCAGTGACAGGTTTCATGGAAGACAAGTTTTCCATGGACTGGGGTGAGGTGAGGGGTGTGGTTTCGGGATGATTCAAGCACATTACATTTATTGTATACTTTATTATTACATTGTTAACCTCTCTGCTAATGATAATCTATATTTGCAGCCACTCCCCAGCGCTAGCATCACCGTCTCAGCTCCACCTCAGATCATCAGGAACTAGATTCTCATAAGTGCACAACCTAGATCCCTCGCACACGGTTTACAGTAGCATTCACGCTCCTATGAGGATCTAATGCTGCTGCTGATCTGACAAGAGGAAGTGCTCAGGTGGTGATGCAAGTAATGAGGAGAGGACATAAATACAGATGAAGCTTCACTGGTTTACCTGTAGATCACCTACTGCTGTGCAGTCTGGGTCCCAACAGGCAACAGACCAGTACCAGTCCACAGCCTGGGGATTGGGGACTGCAGCCTTAGAGAACTATTCTATATTGTGTTCTGGGAGTTTGTGATGTTTGTGTGCTATGTTTTAAGATTCATTTCAAATTGGTATCAATTTGCTTATATCTAATATGTATCTGGATAATAAGGCTGCTTAAAAATATCTTTTGGTTCAGAGATTTTTTTTAACATCAGGAAGTTGGGTTTATTAAAAGTCAGTCTGAAGAATTTGCATTTCTGACTTTTTTTTTTTTTTTTTTGGTAAGTCAGGCTTATTTTGTCTATCCAGGAATAAGAAAACTACCTGGAGATTAGAGAAATGAGCTGATCACCCACATTTATGATGGACTACACAATGACAATGTAATATAAACAGTTCACAGCAGACTTTCATTTGTTTTATGTCTTTTTATCTTAATGTACAGTAAAGGTAATCGATAAAATACTCCTACCCTGTAGTTTGATGTTTACCTTGTAAAATGATTTCTACCATATAAGAATGTAATTAGAGAAACATCGTAGAATCTTAGTGCTGAAAAGAACAAAGACATTTATAAGAGGTGGAAGTTTATCTTAATTTTTTCTTAGTTTTTTTTTTTTTTTATTTCAGCTTATTATGGGGGTATAAATGTTTAGGTTGCCTTTCCCCTCTTCCTCCCCTGCCAGTCACAGCTTCAAGCGTGTCCATCCCTAAGATGGTAGGCATCGCACTCATTATGTATATATATACTCATCCCCTCCTCCCCCCTCCCATCTGCCCAATGCCGGATAAATGTTATTCCTATATGTCCACTTAGGTGTTGATCAGTTAATACCAATTTGCTGGTGAGTACATGTGGTGCTTATTTTTTCCATTCTTGGGATACTTCACTTAGTGGAATAGGTTTCAGTTCTATCCAGGAAAATACAAGAAGTGCTATATCACCATTGTTTCTTATACCTGAATAGTACTCCATGGTATACATATACCACATTTTATTAATCCACTCATGTATTGATGGGCACTTGGGTTGTTTCCACATCTTTGCAATTATGAATTGTGCTGTTATAAACATTTGAGTCCAGGTGTCTTTTTTATAGTGTCTTTTGTTCTTTTGGTAGATGCCAGTAATGGATTGCTGGATCAAATGGTAGATCTGCTTGTATTGCTTTAAGGTATCTCCATATTGCTTTCCACAGAGGTTGAACTAGTTTGCAGTCCCACCAGCAGTGTATGAGTGTTCCTATCTCTCCACATCCACGGCAACGTTTATTGTTTTGGGACTTTTTAATAAAGGCTATTCTCACTGGAGATAAATGATATCTCATTGTGGTTTTGATTTGCATTTCCCTGATGATTAGAGATGTTGAGCATTTTTCATGTTTGTTGGCCATTATTCTGTCTTTGGAAAGTTTCTGTTCATGTCCTTTGCCCACTTTTTGATAGGGTTGTTTGATTTTTCCTTGCTGATTTTCCTGAATTCTAAATAGATTCTAGTTATCAGTCCTTTATTGGATGTGTAGCTTGTGAAAATTTTCTCCCATTCTGTAGGTTGTCTGTTTGCTCTCATGATAGTTTCTTTGGCTGTGCAGAAGCTTTTTAATTTGATCAGGTCCCATTTTATTTTTGCTGATGCTGTGATTGCCTTTGGGGGTTGTCTTCATAAATTCTTTGCTTAGGCCAATGTTTAGAGTATTTCCAACGTTTTCCTCTAGAATTCTAATAGTTTCATACACACCTTAGGTTTAAGTCTGTTACTCAGCGTGAGCTGATTTTTGTGAAAGGTGTGGATCCTGTTTCAATCATTTTTTTTCAGCACTGTTTCAATCTTCTACATGTGTCTATCCAGTTTTCCCAGCACCATTTATTGAATATGGATTTTTTTTCCCCAATGTATGTTTTTGTCTGCTTTGTGAAAGATTAGATGGCTATATGAGGATGGTTTTATATCTGGGTTCTCTGTTCTATTCCACTGGTCAATGTCCCTGTTTTTATACCAATACCAAGCTGTTTTAATTACTGTAGCCTTGTAGTATAGTTTGAAGTCTGATAAATTGGTACCTCCCATTTTGTTTTTATTGCCTAGGATTGTTTTTGCTATACGAGGTCTTCTCTAGATTATGAGGCATAACATTTTTTCTATATCTGTGAAAAATGGTGGTATTTTAATAGGGATTGCATTGACTCTATAGATCACATTGGGTAGTATAGACATTTTAACAATGTTGATTCTGCCAACCCACGAGCAGCATAGTATCATCTTCCACCTTTTTACGTCCTCTGATATTTCCTTCCTCAGGTACCTTATTTTCTTTGTTGCTGTTGTGAAGGGAATTGAGTCTTTGATTTGGTTCTCACTTTGACTGTTATTGGTTATTGCCTCTGATTTGTGTGTATTGATTATTAATTCAAGGAGTCTCTTGGTTGACTCCTTGGGGTTTTCTAGATATATCAGCAAAGAGTGAGAGTTTGATCTCTTCTACTCCCATTTGGATGCCCTTAATTCTGCTCTCTTGTCTGATTGCTATAGCCAGGACTTCCAGCACTATGTTCGATAGAAGTGGAGATAGAACTGGAACAAGGCAAGGTTGCCCACTAAGTGGGAATGCTTTCAAATTTTCCCCATTCAGTATGATGTTGGCTGGGGGTTTGTCATATATGGCTCATATCATTTTTAGGTAAGCCCCGTCTATGCCCGTTTTGTTAAGTGCTCTTACCATAAAAGGGTGTTGGATTTTATCAAATGCTTTTTCTGTGTCTATTGAGAGGGTCATATGGTCTTTGTTTTTGCTTCTGTTTATGTGGTGGAGGTGGCAGTTTATAAGTAAATTTACTGATGCATATCATCATACTGTGTGCTACCAAAAGACTAAAAGCCTCCAGAGAGAGATTTTGATAATCTTATAGCTATTTATAGGCTAATTGTCATCTTCTGTCTTACCAGTTGCAACTTTCCAAGGAACTATGTTTATCTGATTAGTGTTCCCTTTATTGGAGTTAGTTATACTCATTATTTATAACAGTCACAGTTCAGGTATAGAATATTTAGATATATCACCTTCAGTTGAGATGAATAAAACCCAGGAAAAGATGAATATTGTTTCACCAACACAGCACTCAGAAACAAGTAAAGAGAAAGTCAGACAGATGTGCTTTCAACTCTGCTTTAATCCAAGAGGAAATAAAGGCTTCAGGCCTTGATAAAAACCAAACCGGGAGCTGTGATTTGTTTTCAGGAGGCAGAGCAATGACATTTATCATTTCAACGATACAGTTTGAAGTAACACAAAGTGAACGTGAGCCCTTCAGGATAGGTAAGGTATAACATGCCTCAAGAACTGTTCCTTTTAAAACCTGGGCCAATATACAATTGCCCTTGATTCCAACTGCAAACGCAAAGGAAAGTAGGATTCATCCCCAGAAAGGCCAGTTAAGTACTACAACGTAATAAAAGTGCAAAGTGCTATAGAAGAAGGTGCCTGAGAAGCTTGCAGAGTAGGTAAAAATATAACTCATGTTGGCCGAACTGATTAAAATAATATCCAGGGGAAAAGAAACAAACGTGTGGCTTTGCTCATGAACTATTAGGTCATTAAATATGAAATGTCCGATTTTGAACCAAAACTAGTTTATTAGATCTCAAAACAAGCAGCAATTAATCAAAGTATGCGCTTAAACTATCAACAGTTTTGCCATCTTAACAGTAGCTTGTTTATGCCAGCATTATGCCAGCAGCAGAGAAGCCTAGAGAGTGAGTGGTGACGAAATTGCAAAAGGCATTTTCCATAGCTTGCTGAGAATTGAATATTTTTCCTTGCAAGAAGTGCTCCAAGGCCTGGAAGAAGTGGTAGTGAGCTGGTGAAAGGTCTGGTGAATACGGTTGATGACAGAGACTTTCCAAGTCCAGCTTCTGTAGTTTGAACAGCATTGTTTGAGCAACATGTGGACGAAAATTGTCTTGCAACAGGATTGGCCTGTCTCTATTGACCAATCTTGGCTGCTTAAGCACAAGCATCCTCATCATTTCGTCCATTTGGTTGCGGTAGACATTCTGCTGTAATGGATTGACCATGTTTCATGAAGCTGTAGTGCATAACACCAGCGCTGGACCACCAAACAGACACATCTCTTTTTGATGAATATTTGGTTAGGGACCGTTTCAGCACTTCATTTTTATCCAACCATTGTGCTAACACTTGCGATTGTCAAAAATAAATTTTTCATCACATGTGACATACGGTATAGAAATGCTTTGCCTTAATGTTGTGACAGCAAAGAAAGGCAAGCTTCAAGACAATTTCTCTTCTGAAACTCATTTAATTCATGCGGAACCCATCTATCCAGCTTCTTTACCTTGCTGATTTGTTTCAAATGGTCCAATATTGTTGGAATAGTAATGTCAAACCTTGCTGCTAATTCACACATATGTTGGGTTGGATTTACTTCTATTGCAGCTTCCAGCTCATTACCCACGTTGGCCTCAGGTCACCCATGTGGCTCATTTTCAAGGTTAAAATCACCAGAACTGAACTTCTCAGACTATTGACATACTATGAGTTCATTAGCCACATACTTGCCAAACATTTTGTTGATATTTCGAGCTATCTGTGCTGCATTGGTTCCACAATGGAACCCATATTTAAAAATAACACGAATTTTCAACTTACTCATGGTTTCACAAAAATTGCTCTAAAAAAATTTGAAAGAAAAGCACAAGCCAAAACATGCTTTGCAAGACTGAGGATGTACGTTCACAATAAAAATAAAACAAGTTTCAAAGTGAAATGTAAGAGATACCAACTGTCAAACTTACTTAAGGAAATGGTACATTTCATACTTAATAACCTAATAATGTAACCAGGTAGAAGAGAAAAAGCCAAGGTTTTCCTTCTGGGTCTGGTGAGCTTTAGTTTGAAAATTTTGAGTTTTCCTAGAGAATGTCATTCATGTCTGAGTCTTAGTAAAAGATAAATTAGCAGTTATGATAGCTTGGCATGATGCCCAATCTTAAAATAATAAACTTTAAAATTTATATAAATATGATTTGAAATAGTTTTAAATTACTGAGCCACAGTCCTAACAAAAGATACTTGATACAGATGAAATAACAATTAAAAACTGTACAATTCCTATGTTGCAAATGTATACAAATAAAGGCTTTTCAAAAATAATGAATCCCTAAGATAACAATGGATTTTCATTCAATTTCATAATTAGCTATAAGACAGCATATATTTTTGCCTAGTAAAAAAACATTTATAGTTCCATATGCTAAGTTGACAGTGGAGGGGACAGGCATTATAAAGTTACAAGGTAAAATAATCTAGAGTCAAATAAGCAAGTTCACAGGCAACAATAGGCTCTTGTAACTTTTTGATGATTCAAAAGGACATCTTATCATCTGTTTGTCCACAGAAATAGATAGGAAGGTTCTTGAGCAGCTTATTGAGTACTAGGCGCAGATATCCTTAAAAAGCTGCCAAAAGAAACTCATTTAGTTATTCAATAATTTATTGAGCACCTACTACATACCAGGCACTAGTAACACAGATGAAAAGTACACTGGTAAAGCTTAAATTCAGATTAGCTTTTTAAAAAATGCTTTCTTCCTGGCCCCTGGGACCACTGTATCTTCCAAAGAAGTCTTCATATTAGGGAAGGGAGAAATTTTGCCTTTTAAAAAAAATGTGCCAGGTTACAATAATACAAAAACAAAACTAATATTTGTGAGACTTAATGGAATAGTCCTGGTGGAAAGGACTAGATTAGGAGTAAGGAAACCTAGTTGTAGTCCTATTACTCATTAGCTGTGTGACCTGAAGCAGATTTCACTTCACTGGCCCTATCTCTCCATCAGTAACATGATAATTGGGCTACAATCATAGAATACTACAGCCAGAAGGAACAGAAACCATCTAGTCCTGTGCTTTTCAATGTCCTTAGTCCAAATGAAAATATCATGTAACCACCCCAGTATAAAACTGATGAAAGCAGAGTCACTTTGACAGCCTCAGAGCCTCACTCTCTGCCCCACCCTGAAGTCGCCATAACAGAACACCATTTAAAAACTACTCATCTAGAAGGAACCCTCACTTTCTAGATGAGGCAACCAAGACTCAGAATAGGAGAGACTGTTCTGAGCACATTTGGCTTCCTAACTAGAAAGCAGGGAGGAGGGCTAAATAAAACAGTTTAAGAAATTCATTAAAAATGCAAATTGTCAAGATGGAAGCCTTCTATTTTAACTCTCTCAAAGTGGCCCCCTTGTGAAATGGAGCTTTGAAATTGATTTTGTTTAAGGCAGCCAGCCAGAGGCTGAAATGAACAACTACCAATGTTAACCCACAGGGCCTGTAGAGAGGAGTATGGCAAAACTACACAGACCTCTTATGTCAGTTGGCATTTGACCATGGAAAATCCTGGCCCCAACAAATCGAGCACTGGTGGTTTCAAGAGAAATATTTGGAAAATTATGAACAAGTATAGACAAGTGCCCAGCTCCCAGATCCCTAAGGAGAAGTCACCATCCATTACTCAGAAATATTAACAGAACTATGGGCATGTGAGATCTTACAGTGAACAATGTGACCAGATTTACCAGTTTGAAATTTCTTCAGAGGCATCCTCTTGCTGGAGGAAAGGCCTAGTTTGGTATCTTGACCACTAATAGCCACAGGAGACTTGAAATTAAACCAAAAAGTTAAAATGCATGTTTGAGTGCTGGACCTATTTGGTCAATGCTGTGATCTCTTCTGATTTCATTGCATCAGACAGAAAGCTAAGCTCATTGCATAAGGTCTCATGTCGGAATGCCATCCGGATCTGAGCAACATTTGTCTTTCGAATATCATTTCCTTCAGGTCCTTCTTTATAATAATTTTTTCCCAGAAACTTCTGCTTTTCCTGTGGACCAAGAGAAATACAAAGGAAACAATTCACTTTCTATATCCACATGGGCAGCTTCGACATCAGCCACAGCAAATCAGACTAGTCCCCCTGAGGCAGAACCTCAATCAGGACATCTCAGCCCCACAGAACTCTTACAGAATTCACCCTGACAATCTCAGTCATTCTTCAGATGACCCTTCATTCCTGACTCTGCTTTCCTTGGTCATAAAAAACAAACAAACAAACAAAAAAAAAAACATAAAATCTGTAAGAGCCGCCAGGGATGGAGAAGTCAAGGTGGAGGCTTGTACAAGACTGTAAGTCCCTCCTGGGAGTTGACAAGGACAGACAGTAAGTATTCCTGGGGAGGGCCAATCCAAGGAACCAAACTCCACATGAAGAGAATCTTAAGCCTTTCACTCCTGTGCATCATCATCCAAGAAGAGCGGCACCTAATGCAGCCACTCCCCATACCAGTGACATCACCCAAGGGAGGCGCCCAGGGACCCGAGATACCATCCAGAACATGGTTCTCAGTGCTCCACATCAGAATGACTTATGGAGCTTTACAAAAAATTGCTGATGCCCATCTTCAAGGTTTTTATTCAATCTAGACACTGTTCGTCTACTCAAGAAATGCTGAGTGCTTACTATGTGCCAGGGACTGTTCTAGGGCCTGAGGATATGATGCTAAACAAGTCTGCAGAGCAGACCTGTTCCCATTCTAGTGGGGAAGACACACAGCTAAATACATCAGTAGTAATGAACATTATGAAGAAAAACAGATTAAGAGGATAGAAAATGATGGCAGGTATGTGGCTGCTTTGGAACGGGTGATCAGGGAAGGCCTCTCCAAGGAGGTGACATTGAATAGAGGTCTCAAAAGGGGGGCAGGAGCAGCTGTAAAACCCCAGGAGGCTCCGAGGATTCTCTCCCGGGGCCCGAGTGTCAGTATGCCAGGGACCCTGCCTGCTCTTTCATCACAGGTCCCCAGTGCCTAGAAGGCGCCCTGGCACACAGTCAGCCGTCACCATTTGTTGAAAGGCCAGGAGGGACAGAGGCAGCATTGTCACATGCCATACCTGATGTGAGAGGCCGCTCTGCAGCACGCTGTTCCTGGCGATCTCGCACAGGTCGCACGTGCTCAGCTTCCACACTTGGGCTGCAATGGCATATTCTTCCATAAGGGCTTCCTAGATCCCTCCCCCAAAAGTACATGCATTAGATGGGAGAAATCCATTTCAATGCTTCACATGTTTCCATAGCTAAAAACATCAGACATTGCAGAGTTAATTTTTTTCTTTACTAACTAGCACCTGGATCAGCAAACATCACACCTTAAATTCCTAACTCCTAAGGTCTTTTTTGTGTGAAACCATAGGCTATTAAAGAGAGATAGAAAAGCACATCTCCACACTCATTCATTGACCAGTTCTGAAAGCCTGTCACATTTGAAGCCCTGTGCCAGTCAGCAGGGACATGTGTATGTACAAATATACACACACATACATATACGTGTGTGTGTGTGTGTGTGTATATATGAGCAAAGTACTAAGAGCAGAGATGGAACCTTGAGTAAGAATGAGAAGTGCTCGTAGGATAAGCAGTAAGACAGTATGAAAAGGATTTGGGTTTGTGCTGTGGTTTTGCTTTCCCTTCTGGGATGTGTCTGCCATTACTCACCAGTTCTTCCATTGCCTCGCTAGCCTACAGCAGTGCTTCTCAAAGTACAGTCCAAGGATCCCTGGGGGTTCCCACAACCTTTTGAAAGGGTCTCCTTTCCCAATTATGTATCTTAATGAGGCAAGATTTTTTTTTTACATACTTTGATAAAAACAGCAAATGGGATGCAGAAGCAGATTTGAGAATCCTGCTGATTCTATTAAGACATTAAAGAAACTCACAAAACTCTAAGACAGTGCCCTTTTCTATTTTTGTTTGGGGAAATAAAGTTATTTTCAAAAAAACTGCTATTTGTGTAATATTTAATAGGTTTATTAATGTTTTAAAATAAGTTAATATTTTTAAATTTCTCATTAGCTTCTAACAAAGCAAATATCAGTAGATATGACCCACATAAGCAACAGCTCTTTGAGAGCCTCAATTCTCATTAAAGGGGTCCAGAAATCAAAATGTTGGAGAACATCTGTCCTAGAAGATTCTGGTGCTTCTGTTTTTACTAACCATTGGCTGGTCTTATCAACACCATCACAGTGTGCTAGGTAGACAGTTGTGGCTGGTCCCCATGCATGATACCTCCTTCCCCTTCTCTTTTCCCAGAGATTCAAGGTGTAATAATAATAATGCACTGATTTAAAAGGTAGCTAAATCTTTTGAATACAAGCTATATGCAGGAACTAGATTAGACTCTTTGTATCATGACCTTAGTCCTCATAGTAAGGTAGAGGTCAAGACAGTTTTATCTCCATTTTACAGATGAACAGGGATTCTAATCAGAGGCCTAATAACTTTCCAAGGTCTCAGGGCCAGTAGACGTCAAAGAAAGGGAAAATAGAGAAAGGCAAAGATATTAAATTGTGTCTTCAAAGGTTCAAGGACCCCAAAGAGAGGGCTCCTGGAAGGAACACCTTTCCCTTGCCAGTGGTTTACCTCTTGTCTTCACTGGACAACCAACCCCATCCCAAATGCAGAACTGAGCCATGGTCTCAGGTCCCTACAATGGGAGGACAGGCTAGGACTGATGCCTGCTGGGGCACCACTGTCCTTTCCCCAAAGTCCTCACCTTCGTGTAATGGAACTGCATGGGGTCATCCGTGGAGAGAGAAACATGTAGTCCCTTGTGCAGGAATTCCCTCAGAGGGTTCTTGGAATATTCAAGGAACAGACTGTTGTTGCTAAGAGGAGACATGGCAATGGGGATCTGAGCAAGGTAGTAGAGATACTGCAATACTGGACTCTGCAAAAGAATCACCAAACTCATGAGACAAGTGCCAGAAAGTGTGGTGGGGGGAGGGCGGAGAGAGGGAGACGGGAGGGAAGATGCATTCATCAGTGGAAACCAGGGGTCTCAGCAGTATCTGCACAAGTGTCCAAACCAACCGTGACTTCCCAAGCCAGGACACCCAGACCCAATGTCCCCTTCATCTCCTTCCTACATCTCATGCCCAGCTCTCCCTGGTACCTGCCTGCTGTTTGAAGTGCTCACTCTTGCTGCAGACTTGGAGGTATGGCTCAGAGCAGGAAGGGCAGCCAACCCCAGCCTGCATCTTCTGCTCCCCTCCCCCAGCACGGACCCATTGGGCAGTCTGGGAGATGCCCGACTTTTGCTGTTTTGTCACTTTGACTACAAACATTCAGTTGAACCTGTAAACACTTCAGCTCCTCACAGATGAGCCCTGAAGGGACAGGAAAGGTCAGACCTGACCTCGCTAGTGTGGTTTTCTGATGTAACACCTGCCCCACCCAAAAATGTGACCTATGGTGAGACCTCGCCAGGACCAGGGCAGGGGAGCATATTGAGCAAACACTGTTCCTGCAGAAGCGACCCAAAATGCAGAGAAGACCACACACACCAGTGGAAAGGTAGATGAGCTGTGTGTCCAACAAGTGGGGGCTGGTCAATTATAGACTGGGTGGCAGACCCTTCATCCAACGACAGCCTTTAGAATGAGGAGCACAGGGATGATGGGTAGCACCAAACAATGTTACACATGGGGACAAAGCAGGATCCAAAACTCTGAGTTCATTATGATAAGAAGCACATTAAAAATATGCTCCGGAAAAAAGATGGAAATTAGAAGTATTAAAAAGCTAATAATGCTTACTTCTATTAAGGTAATAGCAATACGTGGTTTTTTTTCCCATTTCTACATTTTTTGGAAAGTCTAAAATGTGATGAGTTTATGTTACTTTCATAATTACCAATGAAACCAAGGTGACTACAGACATCCCAGCCCAGTAAAGGCCCCAGCCTTCTGGCATCACTGGCCAAGACTCCCAGGGACAACAGGAGTCACTGCAGGGCCATCTCCTGTAAGTGGACTGGTTACCTTCTTGAGGAGTAGCCCATGGGAGATGTTGTCGGCAGTTAGGAAGGCAGACACCAGGTGGGTGATGGAGCCAGCCTCCCCACAGTGTGGCCGGAACAGGAATGTGCTCAGGCTGCGTTCCCTGTAGGAGAAGGAGGGCCCCGGGTCAGGAAGAACCCCTGGTTTCCTCTGCCTGGGGCTCCTACCCCCAATTGAGACCAAATCCGGGGGCAAAAGCCACCCATGGCAAGGTCAGCATGGCTGACCCAGTGCACCCTGGAAATTACTCCTAAAATGCAGAGGCCCAGGCCCCAGAGCCCCTCAGAATCAAGAGGCATCATCTCTGGGGGCAGAGAAGGGGTCTAGTGGTGGAAAGAGACCCTGTCCTCCCGCCACTCTCCTCTACCCCTCCTCACCAGGCCATGTGTCCCACATTTATAGACCTCCAGAGCAGGAAAGGCCTTGAGAAACCATCGAGTCCAGCCTCTGTGTTATAAAAATGGGCAAACCAAGGCCCAGAGAGTAGAGTCTGTAGTCCAAGCCACTGAGCAGATCAGTGACAAAGGTAGAACTAGAACCCCCATCTTCAAAAGCTCAGCCCAGGACTGCCTCCAGCCTACCAGGCCATTTCTTTCAATCAGGGCCCCATTTGAAACCTCCAAACCCACAAACCAGCGTGGGCTTAGGCTAAGCGAGTGGCCCCAAGGCCCAGCAGGGGCAGGCAAGATGCAAGGCTTACAGGGAAGGGAATGGCCCTGGGCAGCCAATTCCCACCGTGTGCCTTGTCTACATGTGTATTGGTGGGAGGAGCCTGTGCATGTGACGCCATCCCTGAGAGCATGCATCTAGTTAGTGTTTGGTTCCCTGTTATTTGGCCAGTGCCTGAGATAATGCCTGCCACATTGCAGATGCAGTCATTTGCTGAAAGAATACATGCATGTGTGGACATTGTTAGTGTGATGGTAAGTGAGCATGCATGTGTGTTGGCATGTCTCTGTAGTCTCAGGGATGTACAGGTACACATGGACTGTGTTGGTGAGTGATATGTCTACATGAACACATGTGTATACATGAACATGTGTGGGGTGTGGCTACATTGTATGCTATATGGTACAGGTCTGTACTGATATGTGTTGTGGTAGGCATGCCTGCGTGTGTGATCGTGTGGAGACATGCCTTGTGTGGTATGCTGGGGAGCATCATGTGTTTTGAGGTATGTGGACATGTGTTTGGTTCAAATGCACAGGGACACATGGATCACATACATGTGAGTGCTCACACACAAACACATACCTGCGGAGGTTGTTGAGCACCATGATGTTGGCATACATGTAGTACAGGTAGTAGCTGTAGGGCGGGTTCTGCTCACTGGTCCAGATGTCTGGGCTGGGGCTCTTGTCCGAGAACATGTGGTCACTGTGCTTGGACTCATCATCCACGCTGTCAAACCCTGTCACCTGGGCAGGAGGAGGGGTCCTGAGCTTCAAGACAAGGCAGGCCAGGCCAGATTCGGGCTCGGCTCAGCTTCCCAGGCTCAGAGCCAAGCTGCCAAAGGGGAGCCTATGCCCCTTAGGTTCATACCTCAGCAGGGGACCCTGTGGGCTGGCTGAGGCCACATTCCTCCTACGGATGGAGATGGGAAGTGGGTACAATGTTTGCCCCTCCAGGGCTTCCAAAGGTAGCCAGGAGGCCAGGCTGCAGAATGCCAAGCCCTGGTATGGTGGTGGTGACAGTGGGAGACACTCAGCCAGGCCAGGTAAAGAATGAAGTGGCCACACCCACTGCTTGTCCCGCTGCTGTGCCAAGGCCCCAATGCTGCAGGGTGCAGCAACCACTGCCATCAGCAGCAGTGCACACACATCAGTTATATAGTACTCAGAGCAAGCCTGAGGGTGGGGTTGGCTGCAAACCCCATTTTACAATTGAGCAAACCAGGGCCAGAGCAATTAAGTAAGTTGCCCAAGAGACAACCAGGCTCTGAGCACACGTGAGCTTGGGCTATGGACCCTTTGGGGCTGTAGGTGGAGGATACCCTAGGGCATGGCCAGGTGTGGCCAGGAGAAACCAGCCAGATGCCTCACAAATAGACCAAGAGGGTCCTTGCCAGGCTGAGCCTCAGTTCCTGGGAGGCAGCTTTGCTCTCCAGTCCCCACTGGGAACTGTCCTCCAAGCTGGGCCAGAGGAGCCTCAGGCAAACCCCACCCTTCCACTGCAGTTACGCCTTATCTGGGACCCAACTGTGGCCTAGAGGGCCCCACCTAAGTCACCAGAGCCTTCTGGCTAATCCCAGAGGCCCAGCCCCAACCAAGAATGTATTAATACCTATGGCGGACACGGGCTCTTAGCCAGCACGTAGGGAAGGTTTGCTAACAAGTGGCCTTTCACTCAGCCACAGCAGTGCTTTAGGGAGGGGCCTCTGAATACCAGACGGGAGGAAGAGACTGTCCACCTCACTCCACATGTGGCCCAAGCTGGGGCCTCCCAGCCCAGCTCAGACCCCAGCCAGGTCTGCCGAGACTGTCTCCCGTAGCTACATGGGCAGGAGGGGCCCAGAAGAGCAAGGCACCACTCGGGTCGTGGTCGGAATCTCCCATGTCGCAGAGCCTTATGTGTCAAAGGAAAGGACAGGGTCCCAGATACAGTTCTAAGCTTGCCTAGGTGGGCCTGGGGGACCAGGGAAGAACCTGAGCTGTGCTCTGTGCTTCACCTGAACTTTCTGGGGCCCAACAGGGGAACCATGCCAGCCCCTCGGCCAGGGGCTCTGTCCAACTGATGCAGAGCCTCACCCTCGGGCCTCAGGCACGAAATAGGTGCAAACCCTACCTTCCTCCTCCTCCTCCCCTCCAAGCTTGCTCTTCCCCCACTGTTGGCAGTGGCCCCTGAACATGCACCATCCACCTTTCCCACAAGTAGCTGGGCACCTGGAAGGTGCCCCAGACTCCCCTCGTGTCCTCCAGTCTCTGCCCAGGTCCTGTCGGGGCTACACCCACAATTCTCACCAACCCCGCGCTGCCCAGAGTCCCTGCCTGCCAATGCCCACAGCCATGGGCTGCTAGCTGCTGCACACCCTGCTTTTCCTACTGGGGAGACAATACAGAATAGGGGTTCCTGGCACATGCTCTGCAGTCAGGCTGCCTGGACAAGAATTCCAGTTCTGTGCTTTTCAACTGTGTAATCTGTTTTAATTTCCAGCTTCAAAGGGCTGTTGCAAGGAGTAAATGAAATAATACGTGGAGAGCACGTATCAGTGTCTCACACACAAGAGGCACATAATGATTTGATTAACAACAAAATGGTGATAATAGGGTCACATGAAGTGGTGTACGTGAGGTCATGTGGTACATGGCTAGGCCAGGCAGCAAGGACTCAGTACACATGAGCTGTCGCCACTAGTTCAAGCTCCCCTTGGGTGTCCACGGCTGGAGCAAGCCCCTCGCTCCCATCTTGCCCCCCACCCAGCTGCCTTCTGTTCCGGACCATTCACCTCACAACAGCCAGAATGATGTTGGTCTAAAACAAATTCAACGATGTCCCTGTTTATCCCAACACTTTCTGGGCAGTCCCTACACACACACACACACACACACACACACACACACACACACGGTGAAAACCACCCCATCACCTCCACAGGGAGCTGAACTTGCTTCTCATCACCCGACACCCTCTTCATCACCCGACACCCTCTTCATCACCCAGGCATCCTGAGGAAGGGCCAGTTCCCACCTTCACTCCCCTCCTGGTTAAGTCTCTCCCCCATTGCTTCTCTCTCTTGCCTACAACTATCCAAACATGGAAGAGTATATATTTTGTGAGGCTTCTTAACCAAACATGGTGTGAGGACCTCTGTTTCTAGGCAAAAGCAGGAGAGTTCAAATGTCTGCCTTTCTCAAGAAGCCCCGAGGCTGCTTGGTGCCCCTGAAGGCCGGATCCCGTCTTTCCAGCCTCAGCAGCCAGAAACCAAGTCCCCAGTCTTTGCCCACCATGGCCTTCCCCAGCTAGGGGCATAGCCTGCCCCCAAAACCATCACCCACCACTCCTGACCCCCAGGGCTGTCCCTGAGGAGAAGGGGGCTTGTGCTCCCTGGGGGAGGCTTTCTTATGTAGAAATTCAGCTTCTTGGGGCTGGCAACCCCATGCCTAGGGCGTGTGGGTGACGGGGTCTGAGAAGCCATGGTGAAAGGCAAGGCGAAAACCTGACCCAGTACACATGGAATCCACCCTCTCCCTCCACCACTATGAGCCTTGCCTAGGACACCCCCCACACTTACATATTTAAGGAAGAGGTGAAGCTCCCGGTGATCTTGGGGGTTGATTGTGGCCTGGAAAAGGGGCAGGAAGATGTTCTCCAGCATCTTCCCAAAGCTTGGCAGCAGCTTCTTGGACCTAAATATGTCACTGTGGGGTAGCAAATACTCGCTTATCAGGTGGGCCTAACAGTCCCCTTGCCCTGGTGGAGTAAGCTCCAGTCTCCTCCTCAGGCAGCCCATGTGCCCATCGAACACCCAGAGGAGGGTCAGAAGTAGCCTGAACACAGATCCCTCCTTTCCCCCAACCCTCAGGCAGTGTCAGCAATCCTAGGCTCTGGTTTGCAAACTCTACACTCACCCACCTATCAGGGCACTTTCTCAAGCAGAGGCCATTCTGGGAGTGAGGTGGTGGGATTCAGGCTGACCAAGAGGCAGAAAGATAAGTCCTCCAATTCCCAGTGACACAAACTCTCTGCCACTCAGCTGTTTCCATAAACCACACACCCCAGCCCATCCCGGGGCCATGAGCCCCACACTGGCCAGCTACCTGGAGAGGACAGCAGAGGTGTGAGTGATACCAGGGAGAAGGCCAGCAATGTAGGCCAATGCCAGGTCACCCCATACTCTGGCCACACCAGAAGGGCAATCCGTCCTCAACCCTCCATGACAAGAGGGCTGGGGTGGCAGTTCCCCAAGGACTCTGCACATGAACTCTTATTCTTTGAAAAATATGTGTCACAAGGACATCTTTGCCAATCACTCCTTCCTGTGGAAAAACCCCTGGAGGGGACCAGCCTGAGCTGGCACCAGAATAGGCCCCACCCCTCAAGAGTGCAGACTCAGCAGCCCATGTGGGACAGGGTGTCATCTCTGGAGGGCACAGGGCTGACAGCGGGGCCACCTCACTTACTAGATCCGAGGCACCTGGATGATCCAGCGCATGTTGGGCGAGTAAACCTTGTGCTGGATGAACCAGCGGGCCAGGCTGGTCCACTCCTCCGGACTGCGGCCGTAGATGGACAGCCGCGGCTCTGAATACTGGTACTTGCTCTCCTCCAGCTCCCGCGCCACCTCCTGGCACCAAGAAGAGTTTGGGTCAGCCCATGAGCATCCCAGTCACATGGGAGACCCCAACCCCAGCCCAGTGTCACCAGCCAGGTCCTGCAGCTCCCTCAGCTGGGCTAGGAGGTCAGATCCAAATCCCCAGGGCTGCCTGCTGCCTGCGAGCACTCGCTCTGCTGTAGCAGAGGCTCGCCTGGGCAGGAAGGCCTTGGGTTGGCACCGTCATGCTGCCGGCAGCAGAGGCATGTCCACGTGGAGCTAGCCTGCACCCAGCCACGTTCAGGCTGCAGAGAGACACGGTGCCATGAGCTCAGCCAGGGTGGATGCCTTCCCTTCCTCTTCCCTGCAATTGGCACACACAGCACCTCCTGCCTGCACTATGGCACTGGGTGCCTGGGCACCTTGGCCCCTGCCTGAGCTGATGGTGGACAGAGGGGGGGGGGAGGAGACAGGCAGCCACACAGGACCCCTGCTCTCCGCAGGCAGATGCTGTTGGGTCTCTGGGAGGCCTTGGAGAGGCTGAGGGCCCACTCACCTTGACCATCCGAGCAAAGTACTCTCCTCCCAGGTAGTTCTCAGTTTTCAAATATAGGTCACGCAGCTCACTGGCACCCACAGGGTTGTATTTGGAGTTGAACTTGTCAAAGCGGTGGAACGTCTGCCGGCCCTGGGGGGAGAAGAACACCCCCAGGTCACCACCTTGTTCTGCAGCTACCACACACATTCCCCCCCTCCCCCAGGCCTTCACAAGGTGGCCTTCCCTGTGGCCACACTGCAACCTGTCTTCTATGTCACTCGTTTCTTGCATGAAATTTTGGCCACTCCTAAGGGCCAGGACCATGGATCCTCACTTGGTCAGCACAGGGTCCTTTTATGAGGCCCTCTGTGAAGGAGCAGCAAGGGCCTCGTGCCTCAGGTGCCACAGCCAGGGACAGGTCTGGCTTAGGGAGCAGAGGACACCAGACTATTGGTCAGTAATAAAGTGTTGCCTATCACTACTCAGACTTTATAAAGCACTTTCTCCACACCATATTATTCACCATATTATTTAACTTTGTTAAAAAACAAAGTTATTATGCCAAAACATATATAACACAAAATTTACCATCTCAGCCATTTTTAATTGTACAGTCCAGTGGCATTAAGTACATTCACATTGCTGTGCCACCATCAGCTCTATCTATCTCCAGAACTTCTTCCTTGTCCCAAACAGTGTACCCATTAGACACTAACTCCCCACTCCTTCCTCGCCCCAGCTCCTGGTAACCGCTATTCTCCTTCCTGTTTCTGTGAATTTGCCTACTGTAGATGCCTCATATAAGTGGAATGATACTTGTCATTACGTGTCTGGCTGAATAACATTCCATGGCAAGGATACACCGCATTTTGTTTACCCACCCATCTCCTGACAAGCTCGGCTCGCATCCCCTTCTGGCTGTTGTGAATAAAGCTGCTGAGAGCGTGGTGTGCAGGTGTCTGTCCTAGTCCCTGCTTTCAATTCCTGTGGGTGTACACCTAGGAGTGGAATTGCTGGAGCAGACGCTAATTCTGTACTTCACTTCTTTAGGAACCACCCTACTGTTTTCCCCAGCAGGTGCACCATCATTCAGTGTCTTCATAACTTTGTCAAGTTAGTAAGGAGCATGGCAATCACCATTTTACAGGCAAGAAAATAACAGCTTAAGTGAGTTGCCTAAGGGCACAACACTCCTGAGTGGTAGGAGTGGGGTTAATACTGAGGCCCCTCTGACCCCAAGTCACACGTGCTTTTCCCCTGTCCCATGGCCACCCCAGAGGCCACATGACCTCTCACAGCCTCCACGGTTAGAAGAGAAAGCGCAGCCTCCACAGCCAGCCTCCCTCCAAGCACAGTCCTGTGACTTTTCGGGGGGCCGGGTCTGCAGTCAGGGCTGCTTTCTGACTACAGCCCTGGGGCAGACGCCCACTCACCGCGTGGACGTCCAGCGAGTCCACGGTGAGGTCGTAGGGGTCCATGTGCAGGCTGTCGAACACCTGCCGCAGCGAGATCTTCCGGCCCCGCTTCTCAGCCACAATCCTGTCGGGCTCCGTCTGGTACGTGTGCTTGATAAAGCGTAGCAAGTGCTTCTGGTTCATGCAAGCAGCCGCGTGGATGTGCGTGTCCACCTGGAACACAGCACCCCCCAGCCCATGAGCCGGGCCACCTCCCCTGGTAACAAGAGTTAGGACATCCAACCCTCAGTGTGGAGCACAGAGCCTCACCAACGCCAGGATCCCTCTCCCGTCCTCCACTGGACTGTGGAACTGGTGTCTCTCTCTTCTGCCTTGCTGCCCAATCCACCTCCTTACAGCACCCAGAGATCTTTTCAAAATGTAGATTGGCTCGGGCTACTCCCTTGTTAACAAACCATCAATGGCCCCCATGAGCCTCAAGGAAAAGCCCAAGGTCCTTAGCCTGGGGTTCAAAGCCTACTTCAAGCCTTACCTCTCAACCTTGTCACTGCCCCCTTCTGTGCTCCAGCCATGACCAGCCACTTCCAGGTGCTCAAGGAACCCACCATGTCACTTCACCCATGTCTCAGCCTGAAGTGCCTTCCTTCCTCCCGACCAATCTCGCCCGCCTGGAAATTCCCACAACCGCCTCTATCTGGAAGCCAGCCCTGATCCCCCAAGCACAGCTGATCACTCCTTCCCTTGCCCGACCTGGAGACACCTAGTACAGACCTCCATTGCTGTACATGTCCTCCTGAGCCACTCCAATATTTTTCTGTCTATACCTTCACTAGACTGGGAGCTCCTCAAGGACAGGGACAGTGTTTGATGCATCTAAAGTGTCCAGCACCTACCCCAGAGCCTGAGTCGAAGTATTAATTGAACCAATGGATGGATGAACAAACGAACAGATGTGATGGTTCTAATGGCTTCAGTGATAACCCTGAGGGGCCACCAAAGGTGCCACAAAATCCCACTCTTCCCCCAATTGCTCAGACCCCCAGAGCATGTCCAGAGCAAACCTCCATGTGGGGGGTGAGTGAGGAGGACAGGCACCCAGGGCCAGCCCCCACCACACCATTTCCTTGGCTAGTTACACTTCACCCAAACCCAAAGGCACCTAAACCCCAAGAAGCAGCGGCTCTACCAACCCTAAGCAAACAGGTGGACTCAGGCTGTGGGGCCCAAGGCCAAAGATCACAAAGCAAATCCTGGAGAGCAGAAATGTGTATTTACACAGGGAGCTTGGACTTCTCCCCACGTTGCATGGAAAGGCAGCTTCCTTGCAGAAAGCACTAGGAAGGAGCCCAGCAGGGTCTCAAAATACCTCATGGGATTTCTCATGTCCTCTATAGCATGCTAAACCCTGTGACACTCAACTGTCACCTTGCATTTCTGGCCTCTCCTTTCCAACCTCCTCAGTCATCTTACCCTCACACCCAGACCTCCCAGTATTGGCATTTCTTCAGGCCTGGTCCTGGGCCCTCTTGTCCTATCACTGCACTGTCTCTCCAGTGGTGATGTGATTCATTTCTGTGCACTTAATTAACTTATTTATACCAACTCCCAAGTCTATATCACCAGCTCAAAGCTCCAGAATTGTAACAATTGCCTATTTGACATCTCCACTTGGGTAACACAAGGCAGTTCACATTCAACATACCCAAAAATGGACTCTCCATTTCTGACCCCAGCCCAAACCTGGTAGTCTCCCAGGTTTCCAAATCCCAGGAAACAGTGTGTCCCACACCCACATACTGGAAAACTGGAGTCATCCTTGGTGTTCCCGTCTCCCTTCCCTCAACACCAGCCAGTCCCGTCAGTTCTGCCTTCCAAGCAGATCTTAAATCCGTAACCTTCACCACCCCCCCGAGTCCAAGTCTGTGTGCTCTCGCACCTGGATTCACAGCGACCCCTAACTGGTCTTGCCCCTGTTCCTCTTGCTCTGGTTCAATCCATCTCCCACACCCAGAAGCTAGAATGTACTTTTTAAATGCAATTTTATTCTGTTATGAGATATTCTTCATTAATGAAGGCCCTGCTAATATTCCCTGGCCCCTACCTATTTCCCCACCCCTCATCCCTACTTTCTTTTTCACTGTGCCTCACTCACAAGACAGCCCTAAAGACATGAAGCCCCAGTCAAGCTGACAGATGGCCTGAAGCCACAGTGGGCATCATGACTCCACTTCCATGAGCCCAGGGGGCCTACAGGAGGTCCCCAGGGAGGGAGACAGCAGCCTCGCAGGCCAGGGTGCTGCCAGCCACAATACTATACTCTGGGGTGACTGCTGCAGCTGCCTAGGCACTCTGCCAGGGCTGGGGTGAGGTGGCGGCTGACCTCAGGGCAGAGAGTGCCGTCCACAGCTGGCTGGGCATCTCCGAGTCATGCCGAACCAGACATTTGATATATTGGACCTCTGTGCGCATCGTACCAGCCAGCTCATGTTGCTGGCCACATCACTCACTCATCAGGGTCCTTCCTGCCATTAATCCTGCACTACTGCCAGAAAGACAGACCACTGGGCATCACAGAATTAGAACATTCAAGGCACCAAAAACTAAAACATCACCAAAGCATGATGTAAAGGCTCGGGCCCCCTGAGGACGAGGCCGGCTCGTGGGATGCACAAGAGGTCAGCAGGGCTCAGCTCAGCTGGACACAGCTCAGTGCAACTACCTCAGCATGACTCAGCACATTCTGGGCTTCCTGGTTGTGTCCTCCAGGTTTACCAATGACACACCACAGGGGGTTCAGCCTGTCCTCACCCCCATGAGTCACAAGATAAAGGAGGAAAACAACAGGACAATCCAGGAAGCACGCAATCCGAACTTCAGAATCTCAAGTGATTATTTTAGGAACAAGCAAAAGAGGCTGCCAGTAGAGGGCAGTGTTTTCAACTCACCAGAGGATCTGAGCGCATTCCCTGCTTTTCACCCAAGATCCAGGTCTAAACAAATAGAGTTTCCAAACAGGGCTGGCCAATACCTGGAGCTAGGCCATTGCTGACCATTTCTGTACCCGTGGCAGATATCAGTAATCGATTACAGCACTCCTTTCACTGAGCTTCAGGCGTAGCCTCAGGTAGCCACTACCAGTTGGTCAGGTTTGGCACAGAAGATGAAAACTATTTGCCATCCTTGATATGACATTTAAACCAAAGTAGATTATACCTACTTGTACCCAACTCCCAAGCAGCAGACACACTTATTAGCCTTTTCAACATAGCTCTGAATAGAAAAGTGTCTCGGGTCCACAGTCCTGCTGGTTGGGCCTCACGGTGTCATAGTTCGTCACCTTCTGCGACGCTGCAGCTGCTTTCAGAGACACCACCCACCCAGACCCACGGCCACGCCACAGCTCCTGCCCCCAGAGCACAGCCCTGGCCTGCCCCGGGGCATGACAGCCTCTTCAGACACACAGAGGCCACCCTCCCCGCCCATTCTGGACTTCAGAAAGCCAGCTCCCCTCCTCACAGAAGAGGCTGAGGCTAATACAAAGCAGCCAGCACCCAGGGGCAGGCCTCCCCCTCACCCAGGAGGAGCAAGCATAGGCCTGACTCACAGCAGACCTGGACCCATGTTCATGGACTGACTGGTGCCAGAGAACAGGCCACTGTGTCACGGCACAAGTGCCAAGGCCATCTCTTTCCAGAGTACATTAACCTCCAGGCTGACAGGGAACCCTCGGCACTGGCTCTGAGATGCAGTCACAGCCCAGGGCCAGGACTCTGTCCCATGCTGTGGCCACAGAGCAGCTGGTAGGCCCAGCAACACCCATAAGCAAACAGTGCCAGAGCCAGCCCTGTCAGCAAGGACCTTTGTCCCAGGCAGCAGGAAGCAGGCAGGCCCAGCACACTCACACATGCAGAGGGCAGGGCTGCACTGAGCAGGGCCAGGAGTTCCCTTGGACACCTGCCTGGGCACGGGCCAGGTACGTGGGATGCTTCGGGCAGGGTGGGAGGAGCTCACACAGTGACTGAGGCACCCACCTGTCTGAACACCTAAGGCTCACACAGAAGGAACAAGTGGTACTTGAAGGTGAAAATGCCAGGCTGGCCAGGCTGGTGGTGTTTACCACACGACATTTCATCTCTGCCTGGAAGTCCCCATGACAGTTCCATGAGCTTCTCAGGGCCCATGAGCTGAAGCCAAACTCTCACCTCTTAAAGCTCCCGATCCCATCCAAGTAGGAGTCCACCTACAGCCTCCGGGCATATAACAGAGGTGACCGTAGGGCTTCCCTGGAGGGGGCCTTCCACCTGCATTGCTGAGTGCTCCCAGCTACCAGGTCAAGGAGGCTTGACTGGGCTTTTGGGAGGAGCCGCATCCTCCCTTGACCCACCCTCCCTTATCAAAGCTCACCCCAGGGAGGGGCAGCCCTCAAGAGGTCCCAGCTGGGATGGAAGCCCCTGTGGAGATGACAACCCCACTGTGACTCAGCAGGCTTGGCCACCCCTCCTCCAAGCAAAGCCTGATTCCCACCCTTGCCCCAGGAGCTTCTCTCCCAGCTCCCTGCCATAGCCGGAACACCTCCCTGCCTTCTCTAGAAACCCACAGCCCCGAGTAATCCAGAGCCCCCCACAGCCCACCGCTGCCCTCCCGCACCACCCGAGCTCCTTGCAGGCACCTCAGCGCACTGTTCAGACTCTCTCCCTTCTCTCTTGCCACTCTCGCCCTCCTGGCATCTGCTCAGGCACGTTACCTTGTGCCCTCTTCCTGGAATGCCACCACTTCCACTCCCCTCCCCCACCCTCTGCCTGGCTAACTCCTACTAAGTCAGCTCAGGTCTGGCCTGTCCCTGAAAGCCACCTGTCATAACACTTATCACTAAAGTAATAGGCTGGGGACTTCTTGTCGACAGGAAGTGACTCTTGCTCACCATCAAACACCCCACGCTTACCGCTGACCTGGTGCTTCACTATGTATCACTTCAGTGGCAGAGAGTGGACACGCTGGACACCACAACATTTAACCTCCACACCTGCCCCTGCTGTAGCCCCTGCAGGCTGAAGCTGCCAGGGGCCCAGGCCAAGGCTCCCTCAGTGGATAAAGAGGGGCAGAGAGCTGAGCATATTGAAGGCTTTTCTTTAAATCCACATGATCCTGAAGCATGTAAAACCACAAACTCCCAAGTCCAAAGAGGTCTGAATAGCTTTTTCTCTCCACAATGAATCTAATATGTCTCCTACCCTGAAAGTAGCCTGTGCTCAACTTTTATGACCAATTAACAGATATACCCTATTTTCCAAGGAGGAGGGCACATTCCAACAGATACACAGTGTGGACAAAGGTTTCTACCTAGAGTGACACAAGTACCATCTGAAGCACAGCCCGACTCAGCAAAGGCAGCTCTCCAATCCTCCTGCACGTACGCGTCACACCTCTGGCCAAGGAGGGCCGCCTTAGCCAGGAGACCTGACCTTCGCATGGGGACCTAGCCCTAAACTGGCTCAGAGCGTCCCATGGGCCGGGAGGGGCAGCTCTGAACACTGGCTGCCCACGCACCTTTCTCACGTTGTAGAAGTCCCGGTGGGGGTTACTCTTCAACTCCTTGAACTCGGACATTTCATTTAACATCTCGTGAAGGCTGAACTTGGATTCCAGAAAGTTCAGTCGCCGGTGGCAATAGGTTTTCCTGCAGTTTGGGGAGGGGGAGAAACCACAGTTGAGCAGAAGTCACATCAAGCTCTCCAATTGGGAGCCCTGCAGCCTCTGTGGGGAGCAGCCCTCGGGTGGAAGGAGCAGGGCTCCGGCAGGATGGAGCAGGGAAGGGTAAGGAGGGTCCCACTTTCTACAGACCCCCTGGACTCTATAAAGCAGGTTTCTCAAACTATGGCCTGCGGGCCACATGCAGGTGTTTTTGCCCATTTGTTTTTTTACTTCAAAATAAGATATGTGCAGTGTGCATAGGAATTTGTTCATAGTTTTTTTTAAAACTATAGTCCAGCCCTCCAACGGTCTGAGGGACAGTGAACTGGCCCCCTGTTTAAAAAGTTTGAGGACCCTTGCTATAAAGTGAGGGGAGAATCAAGACCTCCAACAGGTTCTTTGACTTCTAGCTTTAAGTGTTTAGGCAATTAACCGAGAGCCTCCCTTTTCCACGAGCAAATACCACATGGTATCACTCAAGGTTGAAGTAAGGGTTAAATTGGTTATGCCTGTGAAATGGCCTGGCTCTGAGCACAGTGGATCTCAACAAAAGTCTCCCTCCCTCAGCCCCTCCTTTCCTCCATCCATCCTCAGCCGCCTTTAATTCCTTGAAGAAGGAATCAATGCCCAGAAGATTAATACAGTCATTCAAACCATAAGGCACGACCTGCCCACCTTGGGATGCAGAGGTACCGCCCCCCTGAACAAATGGCCACGCCCCAAATCCCAAAACCCAGGGACCTCCCAAATCTGGGCCTTCATGACAAGCGATGGATGTTTTGCATCATGGGCAGATTGAGAATACAGGGGTGTGGTTATTAGACAGGAACCTCTGTAAGGACTGATACCCCAGATTCCCACCCACCTAGAGAAGAGGCCCTTAGGTGGGGAGGGTTCTCAGCTGGCAAACACTGTTGGGGTAGGGGTGTCCACTGCCAGCCCACACCCAGCACAAGGTGCCTGGCCACGTGCTGCATCCACGGCCACACGGAACCTTCCACCACCATTCATGCTACCCTCAAACCAACAGCAGCTGCCTTTGCATCTAATCACTTAGACTTCCTCAAGAGCAGCTGCCAACCACGCAACAGGGAGATCACCTTGCTGCCAAGACAAGCCCCAGAGCAGAGCATAGGACTGCCTGAGTCCCAAGGGAGCTTGAAGGTCACCTCACTCAGTCTCTCCCCCTAGACAGGATCCTCCTTGACCACCTCCCAGACAGGACAGCCGCAGCTCACACAGGTGGCTGATGAGGGTCTCCTGGGTACTGTCCCCTCCCCTCCCAAATCTTGGTTCTGGCCTCAGATCAGTGAGGACCAAGAGCCATGCTTGCTGCCCGCCCACCTCGGGCCACTCTCCTCCGCTCTTGGGGACTGGCATCACACCATTCCCACCAAAACCACAGGGAAAGTCCTCCAGCGCCACCCACACCCACCCCCCAGCCCAGACTGCCACTCCCAGCACAGCCACTCCAGGGCTGTTAGGATCCCGGCATGCTGACCTCCGTCACTGGTTAGCCTGAGTGCCCACCAAGAAGCGAGGGGGCAAATTGGAAAGATAACTGCCTGCTGGAGCTGGAGCCAGACCCACGAGCACCATGGAAGTCATGGAATGAAGTTCCCCAGGCTCCCTGCAAGCTCCACCCAAGAAACACAGAAAACCCAAGGCCTGAAGCAACAGTCTTCATCACTCCTCACCAAGTACGGTCATGCCCTGGACTGGTAACTCTCTGCAGGGCTTGGTCCTGCCCGTGGAGAGCAGTGATAGCCATTTTAAGATGCACAGGTGGCCACCAGCAAACAGAAGCTCCACACCTATGCATGCAGAAGGAACAGGTAGCACCAATTCTAAGAACGTGCCAGCTTGTGAAGGGAGATGGTTGCAGAAACCCACAAACCACTGAGCTTTCAAAAGGGGAAACTGCTCTCTTTCTGGGAAGGTTTAAGCATGGGGAAGCCCAGAGCAGAGGGGTGACCTGGCTGGTCTTGCAGAATAGCGCCCATGCAGAGAGGCGGCCTGGGGAAGCTGGCTTACGTGGGGCCGTCAGTGATGAGAGCCAGGATGTGGCTCATGTCTACCGTGTAGGTCTCCAGGTCAGGGTAGGGCAGGCTGTGGGGCTCCTGGCGCTCCAGCATCTTCTTGTTATCATACACAAAGAGGATGCCCCCCTGCATGCGGACCAGGTAGTCCAGGTTGGGGGGTGCATCGTCCAGGCAGTAAGGGTCGTCCTGGGGAAGCGGGGGCGGATGGAAGTCTGCAAAACAGGATTGAGGGATGACAAAGTGCCCCTGACATTATGAGCATGCATGGGATCAAAAGACATTGGAGCCTGTCTGGCCATCCTGCCTAAAACCCAACCACCCTCAACTGCCCTGATGCCTGCCCTGCTTCATTTTGTCTCATTAGCACTCACCACTGTGTAAAATAATTTTACTTCTTTACTGTGGGTATGTCTTCTCTACTCAAATAGAAGCTCCATGCAACAGAGACAGCTTCACTGCTGTATCCCCACTACCCAGGGAAGTCCCTGGCACATGGCTGGTGCTTCAACAAATCTTTTAAGTTTAACTGAAATGGGCTTCAGTTCCCTTGGCACTTCAGAGACCCCAGGAATGTTTTAAAGGGCAGCTGTGTCTTCTCCCAATAAGAGAACAGACAGCACCTGGGACTCCCCACAGGGAACAATTATCTCTGTCCTCACACATCTCAGCTGCCCAGGGGCTAGATGAAGAAGCCACCCCCTCCAAAGCAGCACCAGATGGGGAACTTGTCTCCTACAGAGCAAGGAATGCCAATGACAAAGCTGCCAACAAGAGGCAGAAAACGCCTCTTTGCTGTTTCCCAACTGTGAGATTTTGAGCAAACCCCTTTACCTCTCTGATCCTGTCTCCTCATCTAAGGATAACACCCTCTCCCTTAACAGGCTATTGTGAGGGCTGCAATAGTGTGTACAGGACAATTCTTTGCAAACAGTAATACACTATATGTGATGAATTATAGGGCATTATTTTCATAAGGAGTTTTCCTGACTCTTGATAAACTGTGTCTCTGGCCAAGGCACAGGCTGTTGCAAACTAGCAGTAGAGCTGAGGCTGCTGCCCAGCAGAACCAGCTGTCCAGCTGCCAAACTAGGCAGGAGCAAACCCTGGGATCCTCCTCAAAGGAAGCCACCAAGGTGGGGTAACCTGCCTGGGCATCCTCCATCACTGCTTGGAAGGGACAACCCATCCATAGAGCAAACATGAGGGGTCACAGAGGAGTCGAAGCAGAGCTGGAGACCAGTGTCCCCCCTCAGGCACGATCAGAGGGTTTGCACGGTCTGCGAGATGCAGGCAGCTATAAGGCCCTGCTGACGCTACAGCCTGCACGCTCAGAGGTTACTTCCCCCACTGCACTCATGCCCAGAACCCTGGGGCGCCTCTGTCCAAATGAAGTACACATTTGACAGTCACTCCTGTCTGTCCTTGCCAAAACTGGCTGGTGGGATCCACTTTCCTAAGACAAACAGGAAAATGGGCCCAGCGGACTGAGATTTATCCAGGGCCCCAGCTAGTAAGGGATGCTCAAAGCGCAGGACTCGAGCTTCAAAGAAGCCACAGACAGGACAACTTGGCACCACCAGTTACACCAGAAGCAGCAGGGTCCTGCTACTGGTGCAGACCACCTAGCTCTCATCTCCCCACCACCGACTTTCAGAAACGAGGTTTCCTGTCCTCATTTATATTACTTAACATACAGCCTCTACTGTTCCTAGGTCCTTCACAGGCCAAACACACCAGGAAACCAGCCATCCCTCTCTGATCACCCTTCCCCTTCCATTCACACCAGAACTGCACTAAGTACTATACTATGCATTCTCCTGTTTAATCCTAACAACAGCCCTAAGACATAGATATTATTAGTATTTCCATTTTATAGATTGAGAAGCTGAGGTTTGGAGAAATATCTTGCCCAACATCCCAAGAAATTGGCAGAGCTTGGATACAAACACAGGTATATTTGGCACCACAGTCTATTTCCCCCGTCCTGGGAACGTGCCCTCTGTACCTATTCCCACCCTACCACCAACTTGGAACCTATGGTCTGATTGTGTTCTCCTTGGCAGACTCCCATGATCAAGGACTGTCTTTCTTCTCTCTCTCTCTCAACTTCTACAGCTTAACCCTCTGCCCAGGGTCAGGCACACAGTACACATCAAATCAGTCCTTGAGGGAACCAGTAAACATCGGTGTAGGAGAAGCCAGTAAAAGGACTCTGCCCCTAAAACATCATCAGGGGAAATACATCGATCCAAGAAAAAGCCCTGACCAACTCTTGGTCCAGGCCCACATTTGGGACCCCACCTCCAGCCAGAGCTTCATACCTGGAAGGCCCTCTTCCGGAGGGGCTGTGTCGGCCCGCCGAGGTGCCAGGTACTGGGCCGTGGTCCTGGGAAAGCGGTGGTAGGCGAGCCGCGCGTACTTCTCCCGGATCACTAGGGCCTTGGCCAGGCTCTTGGCGGCCTGCTCATAGTCCTCCAGGGTGATCTGCAGAAGGGAGGCAGCAGAGAAGTTCACACAGTGGCACTGGGACTGCCATCCTCAGAAAGCTCTGCTTGCAAACTGGCCTTTAGCTTGCCACAGATGGGAACCTGGATTTCAGGAGGGGTTTCATGACTCCCTGACTAATAAGAGTCACGGAGACTAAACTGTTGGTATAAACAACACGGTTTACGTTGGACACTTGCTTTCCTTTTAGGAGTCTGGAATGTGGGGCTGTGCTCTGCAGAAGTGTGACCAGCCCCAATAAAAACCCCGGGCATTGAATCTCTAATGAGCTTCCCTGGTAGAAAACACTTCACAGGTGGGTTGTCACAATTGAATGCTGTTGATATTAAGTACATTCTGGTGACTCCACTGGGAGAGGACCGTTGGCACCTCGCACCTGGTAGCCTCCACGTACCCTTTTTCCCTGTGCCTATTTGCTCTGTATCCTTTCGCTGCAATAAATCCCAGCTGTAAGTACAGCTCCAAGCTGAGCCTGAGCGTCCTCCCAGACGATCACCAGACCTGGGGTGGTCTTGAGGATCCTCGACACAGGAGACACAGAAGGTAAGTTGGGGTTGCTGGGAAGGAGACAGGCACCCTGGCCCAGAGACTGGCCTCACATGCTGCCAATTAAACCACAGCCTGCTATCGCACCTGGCACACGAGGAGACAAAGCCTGAAACCTGTCCCTGAGAGGATGAGAACCATCATTTTCAGCTGAGAAAATTCACCTGTCCTTCAGATGTAACCAAACAACTTCTGTGTGCTCAGCCTGCACTTGGCCAATCCTTTAATTTCTGATTAAATCTGGTGATCACCCAACTCCTCTGGTGGACAAGCCCTATCGTCATGTGCTATCCGCCAGACCTTTCCAGAGATTTCATTTTGCTCCTCACTGCAACCCATTTTACAAATTGGGAAATGGAGGCCCAGACAGGATAAGTCACTTGCCAGGAAGTTACAAAGTCAAACTTCACACTGTAATCTGATTGATGCCCCAAGCCTAAGGATGTTCTGCTTTCGCAGAGCTGCCTTGAATTCAGAGATAAATTCTGCCTTCCAAACAGGCTCATTAATCTTAGTCTGTTTGGGAAGGATGAGCGTGGGGAGACAGCGGCCAGCCAGTCTCACGGGGCTAAGCAATGCAGCAGGAGGGAGCTGGTGGGGCACAGAGTGAGCAGGGCGGGGCCTGGAAGGTTCCTCCTTTGCCTAATCAAGACAATCATTTTTAGTTTTGGAAGATTTTAACACAGACACAAGCACTGAAGATAATATAACCTACCTTTCAGAGCTAACCATATTAATATTTTCATAATTGTTTCAGATTTCTCACAAGTTTAAGTAAATAAATCATCACAGATACAGCTACTAATAAAATCCTACCCTCCTCCCTCCCTACCCTCCCTTTCCCCCTCAGAGGGAGGAAACTGGTAAGTATCTTTCTTGTGCATGTTTTTATACTTTTAATAAATACTACTCTCTGCTTTTTGTTAAGGTAATAGGTTATCCTTTCCTGCCTCCAAATGTCCCTACGAGGTGTGTTCATTCCATCTTACACCTTCCAGTGGATGGCTTCTGAGAACAGGAGGAACAGGGGAGCAGACACAAACACTTTAGACAAAAACAGGTCCTTGCCAACGACAAAGCCAAATGCTTTCTCTGTAGAACCAACAGACTTGTCATGACAAAGGGCTCAGGCTAAGGATATCTGAGGTGCTCAGGACCCCAGTGGCCCAGTGGCCACCAGCCAAGCCTGTAGGCATTGCAGGCCCCACGGCTGGCAGCAGAGCCACTGGGTGCCAAGGAGATCGTCAAGGTAGCCTGCTTCTCACGAACGCTTAGCTCTCTGGAGACCAACTGCCCAGTTTGGGGGCTCCGTGCCCTACTATGCATCAGGAGACTGGCAGAAAGAAGCTAGTTAATAGTCTAACCTGGTGTCCTTCCATTCAGCTGATGCTCAGCCCACCTCAGCTTTTCCTTTCCACTGCTCTACCCACATGCCTGAGGCCGGGTGGACACCATTGGTCAGGATGCTGATCTTCAGACAAGGGCTGCATTGTTTCCAAGCCAACTTGAATTCCCACCCAGAGGAACCTAATTAAAATAAATGATGGTACATCCACACAGTGGACTACTGTGCACTTGTAAAAGAAGAATGAGGAAGTTCTTTTTACATTGCTATGGCATTATTTCTAAGATGTACTGTTAAGTGAAAAAACAAAGTGCAGTATAATGTGTGTAGTAAACTATCATTTGTGTAAAATGTGTGCATAATTAATTTTAGGTACATGGACCATCTATGTGAGAATACACAAGAAACCAAAGCCAGTGTTTGCCTCTGGGGAGGGGAATGGGTGGCTTGAGGATTGATACCATTTTTATACCTTTTAAATTGTGTACCATATGCAAGTATTCTTTATTGCTAAAAAGAATAATTTTTAAAGTTGGTGGGAATTTTATATGAAGAGCAATAAACTGCCTTGCTTTCTCAGATTCACTGTACATCCTACAGCTGCTGCTAAAAAAAAGAGACTAACAAAGCCAACTGGAACATGAGTAGTGGGTTGGGCCAGGAAGACAGAGCCAAACTTAACCCTGGCACTAACTCAGCGATGTTTCTCTCCAAGAAGTAAGCATTCGTGAAAAAGACTCATCCGATGAGTCTTCAGGTGAAATCGGCACATTTTCAGTGGCTGACTTAACAGACTAGGTGTAGAGCAAGCTTGTTCACTTTCCAAACAAGACCCTCTCTTCCTGGGTGCGGGGTCTAGCCTGTGTTCAAGGGCACCGAAACTGAGCAGTAAGACGAGCTGAAGCAGCAATGACTAACGTCACACAACAGCCAGTACCACGACTTTGAATCTATTAAACTTGTGGAAACACAATAGGGCCCAAGCTGCCACCTTTCTCAACACAGTATGGGGACAGAGGACAGGCAGCATTATGGACCTAAAGGACACGTGGAACTTACAGGCCACAGCCACCAAGTGCCAGCTGCAGCCAGGGCCCTCCTCATAGAGTCGGGGCAGCCCCAAGACACACCCACACCCCACAACCTCCACCAGGACCCTCCTTCTCTTTGAATGCCTGTGCCTTCTCTCCACCACCGGCCAGCACCCATAGACTGGGTCACACTTCAGGGGTGGGCATGACCCCAACACCCCACAGGGCCCCTGGCCTCTGCACACAAGGCACACACAACACTCCCACAGGCACCTTACCCCGGCACAGTAATCTCCGCTGATGGTGACCCGCTGGAACTCGGGCATGGCATAGGGTGCTGGCGTGGGCTGGGCTGTGGCTCCCATGGGCACAGGGGTGGTGGGAGACAAGGCCGGACTGGCCGTCGGGGGGCCCTTCCAATCTTGCTGTGCCGGCATTTGCAGAGACAGGGACTGGGACCGAATCATCTTGAAACTTTTCTTTCTAAGAGCCAAGGACAAGGAAAAGTGGGAGACATCAGCAGCTGATTGGGGCGAGTGATAAAGTCTGTGTTGTGTACATGGCTGTGATTAATCCCTGGTGCTGGCCCTCCCATTAAGAAGTTTCTAATTATTTGTGCCTTCCTCTTACACACATCTCTCTGCGTGATACACAGCACAGCCCTCCCGACACCCCAACCTGTGGTTACCACTGCTGTGGGCTGTGTCTGCACGGCACACAGAGCACTAGAGTAGGCAAATGCCACGGGAGACTGACAGACAGGCGGCATACCACACTGCAAGGGCTCAAACACCCAGGGCATGGGAGGTGAGGCCGACATCAAATCAACCAGGCTTTCCCCGAAGTGTGGACAGCATGCTGTCTTCAGATAACCCAAACTCTAAGTCTCCACATTTGAACAGTCTCAGGAAGGACTATGAACAGAGAGATAATCACACTGCATTTCACAGTTAGAAATTTGGGGCACTGGAGCCAGAAGAGACAAGGATACTCAACTAGTCCAATCTCCTCATTTTATAAAAAGTGTCAGAGGCCCAGAGACAGGAAAGGGCTTGCACAGAGTCATGCAGCAGGGTGGCCACTGGTCCCAGCCACCACCTCTGCTGCTCCCTCTGCAAGCCTGGCGTTGCCACCCTGGCTGCTGCTGCTGCTGCAGGAGCAGGCACACACTTGTGCCTCTGTTATGGGAAAGGGATTGATCAGCATCAATCTCAGGTCCCTCTGGACCTGTCATCTGGGCGCCAAAAGATGATTTCACTGACTCTGGGCCCCAAGGTTGGTTTAAAAGGCCACAAGCTCATGGTTATTTACAAGGCTGATTTGTAATGACTCTAGCTTCCTCATTAACGTGATAGTAATGCTTCTGATGACACCACCCCAAGTCCTGGAAGCCCCAGGAAGAGAATGACCCAGCAGGAAGGTGTGGCCATCAGCACTTCCCTTCCACATGTTCCTTTCTGCCTCCAGTGGAACCTGGTCTCCCTGCGTTGCCATTCCATACAGCGTCCAATGCAGAAACTAGCTGACCACCTGCCCTACCTTGTACCATAGGGGCCCAGCAGCTTCCTGGGTGTTAATTCCACCACAACCAAGACCTAAAGCCACCAGCAAAGGACTCGGTGACAACTGTGACCCATCAAACCAGAGCCCATCAAACCCCTCCTCTTCTCCAGGCACCAGTGACACCTACAGAGGCACAGAAATCGGTTGATCCCCAAGTGGGTTCCATGGCTCACCCAGAAGCAGCTGCCTTCCTCTTGGCCAGGTCTCATCTCTGTCGAATTTTCAAGAACTACGGTTCTTCTTCCCTATTTATACACCCACCACCTGCCATGGTCCTCTGGTTCTTACCAGCTTAGTCTGTGTTATCACCTCTTTGGGACGAGGCTGTTTACACCTGGAAGATGGAGGTGACCTTTTCAGAAGTTTACCTTTGCCCTGGCCCTGGCCCTATATACGAGGTGCATTGGGCTGCTTCAGGAAATTCTACCTGAGCCCTGGGAACCCCCAGCCCCAGCTTTCCTGGGTCTGCCATCCATCATATGGTGCTAAGCCAAGCATCCTGCTCCAAGGAAGATACCAACTCATGCCAGCCAATCGCTCTTCAGAGGTGGATTCACCTTGAGCAATGAGGTCCTTTCTTTGGCATCTGTTAAGACATTCACACCTAGAGGAAGAGCCACTTTGGGCTCCCTTTCATGTTCTGACAGGCTCAGCTGGGTGCCATGAGACTCTGGCTTCTGTGTCTCTCGCATGCCTGCCAGATCACTATTTTTATGCCTATGCAACCTCACCCTCATATGCCTCAGCCAGTGCTGCCTGAGGTCTGGTACTGCCAAGGAGAAGCAACAGGTGACATCTGAGGTGAGCAACAGGTAAGAAAGGTTAAAAAAAAATCTGGAAGGCTGCCTAAGCCAAGAGCCCACCAGTCTTGTCCTAGGAATGTCCATGTGCTTCTGCCCCTGTAAAGAAGCCAGTTCCCACCAGCTGGTGCCCAGAGAATTCTCCTTCTTTATGACATCCATTATGGCTACAGCCTTGTTCTTCAGGTGAGCTCCAGATCATGACCTGTGAGCATCCGTGGGCTGAGAGCTCAGACTTTGCAGGCACAAGGGATAGGTTTAACAACAGGGGGCCAACACCCCAGGGCCCACTCACTGTGGGCTTGGAATACCAGAAGCTAACCATGGAGCTTGTGTCTCAGAAAGCTGGAAAAGCTGAATGGAGCCCAAGGGAGGACCCTGTATTTGTTTTTTACTGCTGCATAACAAATTGCCACAAACTCGGTGGCTTAAATCAACACCCATTTATTACGTTATTATAAATCAACACCCATTATCACCTATTTGTTAGTTCACAGTTCCATATGTGAGAAGCCTGGGTGGGTTTGGCTTAAGCTCTATGCTTAGGGTATCAAAAGGCCAAAATCAAGATGTTGGCCACACTGTGCTCTTGCCAGGAGGTTCTGAGTAAGAATCCACTTCCAAGCCTATTCCAGTTGTTGGCAGAATTTGATTCCATGTGGCTGTATGACTGAGGTCCCAGGTTGCTTGCTGGCTCTGGCCAGGGTCACTCTCAGCTCTCACTGACCACACTCTGATCCTGGCACATAGTCCCCTCCATCTTCAAAGCCAGGAATGGTCAGTGTCCTGGTACTGCAAATCCCTCTGATTTCCCTGCCTACAATCAGCCTATGAAAGCTCTGTTTTTAAGGGCTCATGGGATTAGATCAGGCCTACTGATAGTCTCCCTATGTTAAGGGTGACTGTCCCATATTCCACAACATCGTCACTGGAGGGAGAGCTCATCATATTACAGGGTCTGGAGATTAGGGAGGGACATCTTTGGGGGCATTTTAGAAACTGCCTATGATAGGCCCACATCTAGTATCCATTCTGTACCACCAAGGCTCAGCCCACAAAGGTGGAGAGTGGCAGTTGAATGACTATGTGTAAGAGAGTGTGTGAGCGTGCATGTGTGATAGTGTGTGTGAGTGTGTGTGTATGAGTGTGAATGCGAGAGTGCACGTGTGTATGTGCCCACACACCCATCCTCTCCCTCTCAAGGCTGTCTGAAGCCCCATGTGCATCACAATAATAAAAGAAGTTATCATTATCTTTCTCTGAATTATAGGACTATGGGGTCTCCTGGCTTGACAAGACTTTAAAGACTATACGCCCCAACCTCTCACAAAGGCAGCCTTTGCTTGGATACCTCCAATGACAGACAGCTCACTACATTCCTGAATAAGACATCAGCATTCGGTCATTTATTCAATAAACATTTACCAAGCATCAGCTCTGGGCTGGGTCAGAAGTAGCCACACAAACACAAAGTTGAACAAAACATGATCTGGTGCCAGTGTTAGGAAGCACTTGCTCATCATGGGCCAGGATCTGTCTGTCCACAGTACCACCTGCTGCGCCTCGTGCTAGCCCCTGGGGCACCGGCACGAGCCGGCTGTGGCACAGCTGGCACGCCTCCGCCCTCCCTTGCCCACGTGTGCACCTGGCAAAGGCACACGCCAGCCAAGGAGCTGGCAGAGCCTGGGGCTGTAAGGACACCAGCTCCAGGCCAAGCCTGAGGGCCTGAAGGGGCAGGAGCAGCCTTGTCATCCCCAAGATGGATGGTCTTCCAGGGCGTCAAGACAAGGAGGTGATCTGGTCCCCTGGGCCGCTGTCACCGTTTCGCACCTCCCAGCCCCTGTGTGGTGCTCTACCTGCTCTACAGCCCTTGGCTGCTCTATGGCCCTACCCTGCTCCGCTCCCCAACCCTCCTCAGCTCCTGGGAATCAGATACCCTGGAGCCACCTTCCCGGTGTAAGGTTCATATGCTAAACCCAGGCTAAGAGCCCCTGGCCCCTCCTTGCTCTCCTAGAGCACAGCCAGCATCCTCGCAGGGGCCTTCTGAAGCCCACCGCCCGGTGCCCTGTCTAGAGCACTGCCAGGCAGGAGGAGCGCCAGAGCAAACCTTTCACCAGGCTCTCAAGCGTGTCCCATGAGTCAGGGGGCCACATATAGACCCCACTGCATTCAATAAACTACCGGGTGCCAGGCCCTGGAGGTAAAAGGGTAGGTAAATATAACTCCTGCCTCCAGAGGCCGACGGTGATGGCAGAGATGGACCCAGACAGTTCAACAGACTGTTATCGTACGATGTGGTTAGTGTAATGAGATGCCCCAGATATTTTGGGATCCCAGGGCAGACACTTAATCTGGACTTAGGTGGGAGCAAAAGGGGACATTTCAGAACAGGGAGGCTTGTTTGAACCCCTCCCCCGACACATAGATCATTCTGGCAGCCCCTCCCCCTCCAGATGAGAATTATTACTCCAAAGAAAAGGGCAGGAGTCACAAGCCAGGGTCTTGCTAACAATGTGAATTTGAATGCCGTTAGGTGGGACAGGCATTATCCACTTCACAGGCTCATCTGCCCCTATGGCTTATACTGTCACAGCACCAATTCATGTGGGATGGGGACCCCTGGTCTACGGGGACCAGGTGAAGAGCTGACACCTACTTACTACTCTGTGATTGAGACCAGAGGTCCCAGCCCATCTGGAGAGGAGGGCTCAGAAACAGTGACTCTGACACATGATGCATGCCAGGCACTGTAAGAGGGGCCCGAAGACAGCGCGGGCCCCACAGACGCCACTCACTCTGCACACGCAGCCGGGTGACCAGCACAGCCGGGTGACCAGCACAGCCGGGTGACCAGTGGCCTGGCCAGTGGGTGCAGCTTTGACACCCTGCCACCCCCCCACCCCCACCTTGTAGCTGTGAATACTCAGCCCTGCCCTCAGCTCCCTCTGGAAACCTGCCCCTCCTGTTCCTATTCCAATCTCTCTCCCTCCTCTTCCCTCCCCTGCACTCCTGACTGTCCTCTCCACTTGTCCCCTGCCACTCACCTGTGCTCCTCCCTTTCCCCATCCTCCCCAGCTGCCCTTTCTCCCTAAAGACCCCATTGGTCAAAACGCAGCACAGTCTTCACTACCTCTGACTTAAGTGTTACAATCTCTATTCCTAACTTGAAACCAGATGAATTGACTATTTCAAAGGAAGCTCTTTGTCAATGGCTATGAATTTTTAAAAAGTTACTCACCCCTGCTTGAACAAGCTGCATAAAATAAAGTGATTTAGCAACATTTTATCTGTACTATGCTCAATTCATAACAAATATCTATCTATTCTACTCAAAATGTTATCAGGGAAGTGGCTGTTCTGGATAGCCAAATTTTTCAGATTATAAAGTCTATCCCCTTTATATCTTAATTTTAAAAAAACAATTTGGGTGTGGCTTTTTATGTGAAATATGTAATGCCTGCATTTTTAATCGAAGCATGCTGAACACAATTTAAAGTTCTCTCAATGACTCAGGGTCATTACTGTATTATCCAGTCACAATCTTACAGGTGTTTTGTCCCCAGACAACTGTGCTTCAAATTCCTGTGTCTGCTCTTCATAATTATTCTGTTTCCTCCCTCACTGTTGACTGTCAAATGATAACAATAACAAAACAGGAACATTAAAGATGCTCTAAGCACTGTGCTATGGATATTTTGTTTATTAGCTCATGCAATTTGCACACGGCAGATCCTTTTATTATCCTCATTTTGTAGAGTAGGAAACCGGCTCAGGCAGTTAAGAGCCTTGTCCAAGGCCACTCAGTAGTAAGCAATGGGCTGTCACTTGAACCCAGCTGGTCTGACTCCAAAGCCCCCACTTACCATCACCCCACATCCCCTCTGCAACCTGCCTAGAGATGTCCCTCTCCTCACTTCTGATTTGCTTCTTTAAATCTGCCACAGGATAAGAAAGAAGCTAGCCAGCTTATCAGAACTCTGTGTAAAGTAGGAAAACATAGGAGATGGGATGGGAGGTGCCACAGATGGAGAGGGAGCTGGGGGGTGGGGGTTGTGCTCCATGAAAATGTCAACATTTTCACAGCTTAAAGGGTATGGGGGTTTCTTTTGGGAGTGACAAAAATGTTTAAAGTTGATTGTGGTGATAGTTGTACAACTCTGTGAGTATACTAAAAACCACTGAATTGTATACTTTAAATGGGTGGATTGTATGATCCATGATTATATTTCAATAAAGCTACAGAAGAAGAAAAGAAAAGGAGGAGGAGGAGGAGGAAGAGAAAGAAACAGGAGAGCCAGAGGAGCCCTGATGTGCACTTCAGCTGCTTAGAAATTTTTCACGTTGTTATTGATGTTGGCTCAGTTCCTATATGTACATTTACAGGGAGGTGAACTCTAGCTAGGTATGTAGATGAGATTCAAAGTGAACAAAAGATAGCTGTAGGCACCACCAGGGTTTTCCTGTTCTTATCTTTGCCTCCTAACTTTGCTTCCATAGAGTCCACCCCTCCCTCTGACCTTTACCCACCCTGAGTCCCAGGGGAGACCTGGCCAATGTCATCTTCCTAAGGAGGCAGGGCACCTGCAACAAGCTGCCCTACTGTTCTCCCGATCTGGGCCTGGCCTGCAAAATGAGCACTTCCCTGAGCAGCCTGGACCACTGGCTCCCTGGAACAGTCCCCTGTCCTGGAAGGGTTACGTTTGAACCATGCTTAGCTCTGACAGCTGCTGTAACCCTGGACAACAAACCCCATATTTTAGGTGTTCTTTCTTGCTCACAATCCAAGTTCTTTCTATAAGAAGCTGTTTTACATCCATAGTTCAGCATGTGCCTTTACATTGGACTTAAAATAGTTGTGTGTTTTTGTTTTCATAAATGAGAGAGAAAAAGAAAACTGTTGTAAAAAGAAAAGCCAGGAATGTTCTCCATGTGCCAGGAATGTTCAGGCTTGTCAGAGGATCCAGGGCAAGGGATCCTTCTAGTTTTTCCAAACTAGAAGTCCCATCTCTTGTCACAGTTTGAAACACAAACCCACCGCCCCTGGGCAATGGGCCTGTTGCTGGTTCCAAGCTGTGGGCTCCTTGCAGGAAGGCTCCCTGTCTCTATTCATATCCAGAGGGTCAGGAGGTGCCACGGACAGAGAGGGATCTGAGGAGAGGGTGCCCGTGCAATGTTAACATCCAAACATCTGCACATAAAGTGAAGTCAAAAGACAAACTGGGGCATGCACAGCCCTGGAGGGTGCTGGGATATCTGACAGGTAGTCCAGGGACCAGGCCCTCTTTCAGAAAAGAAGCCAGTGGACAGAACGGGAGCTTTGGCCGGCTTCCCATCATTTCATTCAGAAGCCGGGACTCACGTCCTGGGAAGCAGCACCTAGTGCCATTCCAGCATCTACAGACCAAGGAACCAGACTCCACCCCCACCTGAAGAGGGGATAGCTTCATGGCTGAAGAGTCTAGATTCACAAGATGTGGATTCTAGTCCTTGCTCTGTCACTTACACACTATGTGTCCCTGGGCAAGCTAATTCAACTTCTCCGAGCCTTGGTTTTCTAATCTGCAAAACTGGGATACCAAGAGTATCCACTTGCTAAGCTGATGTGGGAATTAAAGAATGCAAACCGCACAGCCTGTACTTGGCCCCCAGTAAGCGCTCAAGGGCAAGAGCTGCTAGTGCTGCCCATCTCAGCAGTGGGAAGTTGGATAGTTAGCATTTACATGGGTGCACAGTGACCCAGGCACTGTCCTCACCCTTACATGTTGATTCCTGCTTTCCTGACGACACTGCACAAAGGTAGCTACTACTGTCATCCCCACTTTAGAGATGAGGAAGAAACTGGGACCCAGAGAGGTTTCCTAATTTGCTCAAGGTCACAGAGCATCCCAGTGGGTGGCAGAACACAGAGGTCCAGACACCCTAATGTGGTGTCCTCTGCTGGACATCCACTGCCCAGCAACTATGTTCCAGAATGGATACCGGGGATACAGTAGGAGCCAGATGCAATCTTTGAGGAGCTTATAGTCAGATGGGGCAGACAGGTGCAAACCAAGACACCACAACCTAACACGCAGGGACAGAACAAAGTTTCTGGAGAGGAGTTTGCAGAGGAATTTCTGGAAACCAAAGAGCGCCATTTGGACTTAGAATAAGAAAGCTTCCATTTTGCCCTTAGCCTGGGCATTGATAAGAAGAATACAGGCTTTTTGCAGATGTCAGGCCCAGTATTACTCTGTAATTGAAACTTGGCCTTGGAAACGCATTGTTTCTCGTAATAAAAAATGCCAGGACTCCTTCTCCCTCATTATTAAGGGCCTAAAATGTTCAATTCATAACACACAGAAGGCCCTGCAGACCATTCGATTGATGAAGTCAGCCCTCTGGTCTGCCCGTGGGGTGTGAACGAGGATGTCTGCAGCCCTGCTCACCCCCAGGGATGAGTGCGCCCCTGGAGCTGGGCCACCCCGCCCAGCACAGGCTGGCACTCAGGAGTCGGCCAGCGGCACGATGACCCCTTCCTTCCTGAGCTCACAGCTCCTCCAAGGAAGGAAAGCACCGAGCTTATGGGTGGTGAAGCTCTGTTCTTGCCGTCACATCAGTAGTAGACTTTTTACTTCTTCCCAAAAAAGTTAAAGAAATGCTGAGATTCTGCTCTCCCAAGAAAGAGGCAGGACTTGCCTTTAAAAATGAGGCAGTACCTTGGGAAGGGGTTGATCACTGACTGGGTTTTAGAGAGGGCCCCAAGTTCCACCATGTCACTGCTGAGGTCTGTCGTATGCTGGGCAGGCAGGGACCCAACCACAGCCCCAGGGCAAGATAAACTGTGAAAGGATGAGGGCCCCCCACTGTTCTTTGGCTAAGATCCAAACTTCTTACTGGGGAGCACAAGGCCAGTCTGACTGCACCCGGTTACTCCTCCAGCCCAGGGTGTGGCACTTCTTTCAACAGACCTCTAAACACATGGGCCTCCTGGAAGACTTGAGGGTCTTTGCCCTGGCCGACTCCTCTACCTATAAGGCCCCCACTCAGCTGTACACACAGCTAGCTCCTTTGCACCCTTGAAGTGTCCAGTAAGATGTCACCTATTAGGAGAGACCTTCCCTGACTACCCAGTCTTAAAAAAAAACAATTCTTTCTCTCTCTCTGTAGCTCTTTCTCTCTCACTCGCTCCTTATTCATCTCCTGCACAGCACCGGTGCTAGTCCTAGGCATGTTTGTCCCCAGATCCATTCCTCATCCGCTCCCATGTTTCCCAGGTATGTCTACAGGCTTCCATCTAGGTTTGGCCAATGGCAGCTGTTGGAGAAACCTGGAAGGTGCAAGAAGAGTAAAGCTGGGTATCTCCTGCCTCCACCTCTGCCTTGGGAGGCACCTCTACACCTGCTGCCTCTCCTCCTTGGCTCCAGTTTCCATTGGAAAGGCCACCACAGTTCCACTTGCCCCAGGGCGACACCACCCCAGGCTCCAACACTATCACCTCTTCCCCGGTCTCTCCTGCCGAGGGTGGTGGCTGCTCCCTACTGTGTCTAATCGCTGAGCTGCCTCTCTCTCCTCTGGCTTCTCAGCTCTCTGCCACCTGTGTAACCAATCCCCTGCATTAAAATGCTATTTCTAATATTCTAATATTCCAGTAGCTTCTATTTTTCTGGTGAGAGCCTGACTGATACAACACTTATCATAACTTGTAATTTTTTAATTAATGTGTCCAGTTACTTAGTTACTGTCTAGACCCACAGGGCAGGGACTGTATCTGTCTTGTTCATTATTACATCTCCAGCCCCAGCACAGCACCTGGCAAATAGTGAGCTGTGTTAATTAATAATACAAAACACTTGTCAAGTGAGAAGAAGAAGTAAAATTAACGTTCCCCAAGAAATCCTCAAATTTCCAAAAAGAAAAGGGAAATGCCATTTGGAAATGGTGTGTATTTAGGCACGTGATTTGTTATTAAAACAGCAGCAAAGGGAAAGTGGGCTTTGACCTTTTCAACACAACAGAAGCACCAAGACATCCTTCAATAAATAAGCAGTGAGTGAAGTGGTCTTGGTTAAGAAATCAGGGCAGCTCCAGGGAGCCAAGTCTTGGGGACAAACCTTTTTGCGGTCTCCACAGACTTCTGCTCTGCCAGCTCCTTCTGCAGCTCCCTCTCCTTGGCTTCCTTCTGCCCGATGGGGCAGTCCTCGGGGACAGTGAACAGGGACAGGGCATCTTTGCTGTCCTCTTCTCGCAGCACTTTAGCAAACACCTTTTCGGCCAGGAGCCGGACTTGCTCATCCACTTCCGAGATGTTCAGCTTGGGGAACTGGCGCGGCATCTCGGCTAGCAGAGAAAGAACACACATTAACTTCACCAACTGCTGTGCGGCCTGAGTCACTGGTGCAGGGGAGGAAAGGCAGCAGGCCCGCCTGGTCCTCAGAATCAGCTGTCTGCTCGGGAATTCCCCAGACCAAACCCACATGGCAATTTCAAAATAAGTTCAGTAAGTAACTGGGTTTGGGGCATGTAGGGCTATTCTCATGTCAGGAGGAAGCGAGTGTCCAGAAGTCAAAGGCTGTTTAACTAAGGGTGCTTCCATTTTCCCCAACTCAGGGATCTGCAGCGCACTGGTGGCCCTGCCCTCCTGACTCTGTGTCCACCATTAAGGAGGGACAAGAGACAGCTCAGAACACTCCCTCCCCCAGACCGTGAAGAGCCTGTGAGCCTCCTTCCCCCACTTCGCAGAGAGGAAGACCAAAGCCCAGAGGGTTTAACTATTAGTTTCAGGTCCCACAAGTTAACAGCAGAGCCTTGAAAAATCCAAAGCCACATTCTTCATTATATAAAAACAAGGTCTTTTGCTAAAAAAGAAAGAATCTGCAATCACAGTTTCAGTCCCCTAGCCCCTCCAGAACCTTCTAACAAGTCACAGCAAATAAAATAAAGGTTTGGGGACAGGATCACTCTTTACTGAGCTGAAAACTCACTTCCTCAAAGCAGCTTTCCCTATCTCTCTGCACACTGGCTCCGTGCTATCAGTAACTGGCCCCAGTCATCTGATTTCTTTCTGTCTCTTTCTTTCTCTTTCTTTGCTCTTTTCTTTCTTTCTTTGCAATTACTTGCATAGCACTTAGTATGTGCACTCTGCCAAGAGCATTATGTGTATTAACTCAGTTAATCTTATTACTCATGTTATAGAGGAGAAAATGAAGGCACATAGAGCTAACTTGCCCAGAGTCACTGTCTCAGCCTTTTCCCCCTGTCCCTTTCCTCTCTGAGCCTCTGCTCAGAGATCCGAACCCAGGCACCTGGTTCCCACACGTGTGCCCTTAACCACGACGCTGTGCTGCTCTCTTTGTCCATTTGAGTGTCAGACAGGGTCTCCTCACAGTCCCCAGCATAACACTTATGGAATGGAGGAATACTGCACCCTTTCCAACAAGCCACCTTCACCAGGAGCGGATCTGGAAGGAGTTTCCTGTCTACCGATTGCCATGGTGTCTTTAAGGCTGGCTGTGAGAAGTGAGTGGCTTTGTCGACCAGGCAGACAAGGATGAAGGTGAGACTGCCCTGTTGATGTCAGGCAGGGGGAGAGGGGAAATCACTGGGTGGTCTTGGGACAAACATTCCCCGGCCTCACAATTTTCTCATCTGTGAGATGAAGGGACTGAACTAAGTGGTCTCGAAGGCCCTCTCGGGTCTGAGTGGTGTGATTCTAGGTACCAGACAGGTTTCCGGCACCAGAGGAGGGCTTGCCCTGGTCTCTCGGCGGCACATGGAACTGTTCATGACACTGACAGGAAGGAGGAGAGCAGGCTAGTAAGCGGCGGTCACGGCAGTGTCTGTGCACCCCTGGGCTCTGAAACCCGTTTCTTTTTCCCTCCTGAGGACGTGCCTCTCCTGGGCCTCTCTCACCCCAAGGGGGAAGGGAGTGGGAGGGCGCTGATGGGGAAGGGCTACCACAGCACGCAACCCAGCTGGTCCAGGGAGCAGACACCAAGACAGCAAAGGCCTGGCCCCCACAAAGAGGAAGAGGAACAGAGCTGACCGTGGCGATTTCCATCCCTGATAGCAGAGAAGGGGAAGCTGGAAGCCATCAGAGCACAGGCTCAGAGAAGAAGGTGACAGGGAGGAAATGTTGGGACAGCACAAAGTACCAGACCCAGGAGGCTCTGTCAGGCAGAAGCAAAGCTGGCCCCTGAGCCCCCAACTCCATATCCACAGGTCAAGTGCAGCATTTTAAGACCTCACATCACATCTCAGAAGCAGACATCAAACAGGCCCCAGGCAAATGGCACTAAATGCCATAAAGCAATATACCATTTGACTCAGTTACCCTACTTCTAGAAATTTCTTCTAAGAAAAGAATATGAGGGAAGGAAAAGCACAAAATGTTTACCTGCACTCTTTACATAAATGGCTTTAAAATGTCCAAAGTAGAGCATACTAAAAAAAAAAAAGAATGTTAAGCAACCAAAATTATAATAATGAGGAGGGTGCAATAATAGTGAGGAGAGTGCAATCACATAAAAATTTTTTGTGAAAGACAGCAAATGAAAAACGTAATACATGAAACTGTACCCATGCTTTGATTACAACAGTATGAAAATGCAGCCCTTACAGACAAGGGCTGCAAAGGAGACCACGCTCAAAATGACCAGATGGCGGGGTTGCCTGTGTGCAAGTGGATGTTCCACTCTGATAATTAATGCTGCTATAATGTCATTTTTAAACACAAAGAGAAGAGAAAGAAGATGAGTAGACTTAAGACTATATGAAAAGAGAGAAAATTAGGAAAACAAGTCGAACTTCTCCTTCTGGCAGATTCTGGCAGTTAGGGCCCTCTCCGCCTAACCTACCCAGCAAGCAGCCAGTTGAAAAGTGAGCTAACAGTGGAGACCTCCCTCTGCGTTAGCTCCCACCCTAGACAGAAGCTGCCACCACACCACCTTCCTACCCGCTCAGCCCCACAGACACACGCAGGCCTGAGCCTGACACACCTCACTGGGCTCCTCAGACACGGGCGTTTGGGTGTGGAAGAGCCTTTACCTCTGAGGGCTCTCGTGCCAGATGCTGCCGGGTTTGTCCATGAAGCGTTTCTAACTTGCTCAAGTTAACTAAACAAACTTTTCAGGATGCATCTTTCTATAAAAGATCTTCCTTTTTCTTTAGCTTAAATAGCTTAGCTCCATCTTTCCCAAACTGGATCCCGTAAGATGCTAGTAAAACAGATCCCATCACCAATTACTGGGAGACACAGTTCCATAGCCCCTCAACCCACGTTCACAAGGCCCATTAGAGACTCAAGGATCATAGGGTAGCATTTCAGAACCCTTTTGTTGTTTTTCTGTTTGTTTGTTTGTTTACAGAACCCATATGAATCTTATGCAGAACAACTACCAGTGTCGTAAATGGTCGGTGAAGAATTCATTCTATGTCTTAGTATAGACCAAGTACCCATCTGGGGTGCTGTGGCCTTAGCAGCCTGCTGCACATCTGCTGTGTTCTGGATTTCTTTGGTAGACAGTGTCCACCTGCCAACCCTTCCCTCCAGAGTTTTTCTCCCCACCAGACACTCCAGACACCTGCCAGGCCAGACACACCAAGGAAAGCCCACTCTGAGGATATCAAGCAGAGTTTCGCCTCCAGCTGCCTATTCATGCCTGGCTTTCAACCATTTGTCAGCTAAAGCCAGGAGGCTCAGGAGGCTTCACTGTGAATTCACTGGCATCACTCAACGGTGATACAGCCGGTCTCACTGTTACATGCGACACACTCCCATGAGCTTAAAGTGTCCCAGAGTTCGAAAGCCCTAAGACATCACCAGTTTCAACAAATAGTAACTTTTCACAGCACCACAGCCCCTCCAGAAAGGAAGCACAGTGCCACTTAAATCCCCTCCCTATACAAATGCAGCTGTTTCCTGCTTTTGCCAGGCCCCCATCACCAGAACCCACGACACAGACCTGAGCCTGGCGCCGGAGTCTCCGTGGCTGATCCTGTGGATGCCATACAGGCGACGCACTAGAGCCAGGTGCTACGTGCTGCCCAGGGAGCTGAGCTGAGTCAGTGTGTGAGCGCAGCGAGCTGCGTCCTGCCTGTCACTGCCGGGCTGGGAGGTCTCTGCTTTGCATATCTGTGAGCAGCAGTGAGCCAGAGCAGGAAAAGTCCAGGCTGGAAATTCTTCCGTGAATATGACATACAAGTGGAAAATTTCCGAGAGTCCTAAAGGCCCCAGGTAATGCCAGCTATCCCAGGCAAAATGGCTGTGGTATCTCAATGCAGTGTCCTGGCCCTGTTCGCAGCCCTCAGCAGAAGAAACAAAGCGGCAGCTGCCCCGACACACAGTACATTCAGCCACCCTGACTGATGGCAGGAGATAAGCCACAGCCTGCCTCCAACGCCCAGGCTCCTCCTGAAAGCTGAGTGGCAATGAGCGATACCATCCCCTTTGCTGCTTCCGTACTGAACCCATTTCAGACCTGGCCTGGCGACTGGATTCATCCTACCAAGGGGGTTCATCTCAGGCACAACCTGCCCTTCCTCCTCTCAGAAAGACCCCAAAGCAACCCTCCAGAGAGCACCCCAAGACTGGCAGGGGGAGCTCCAAGCCCAGTTTCCAATACAATCCCCTCCCTCCCCTCCTCTAAAAGGGAAGGACCATGAACTGCTCCCACCTTTCTCAGGAAAGGACAGAGACTCTGGGAGAGGGGACTGCCTCAGCACAGAGGGAGTCTTCAGACAGGGGCAGGCTAGGATGAAAAGTAGGCAGCCTCGTTCCATGCCTTCCTTTCTTCCCAGAAAGAAGCTGCGCATCGCAGGTGACTGAGCAGCCTCAGAAGCTCTACCAACCCCCCAAACACACACAGAATTATGCCCACCTGACCCCCCAGCCCACTCCCACACCCTCCCCTTCTTACTGCCACTCGCGGCTCCCACGTGGGCCTCCAGCTCGGAGCCGCCTCCTGGGCGCTGGCTGGACTCTGTCGTTCTCCCTGGGAAAGTGGAGATCGCCTCAAGGGACCCACGGGAGCGGGCCTCTAAAACCAGGCAGGGTGGATTAAAGCAGCATCACAAGGTACTACGCTCCGTTTTTCACCCGCCCTTTAGGAGAGTGGGAAGGCTCGGAACAGACACACGGCCTCCCAGTGACTTAGACAAATCGTGTGGGTCTGGGAGATAACCATGAACAAAATGGCTATTTCTGTGGCGCTGTTGAAATCCTGGGGAGAAGAGCCCAGAAAGGATGGGCCAGTTGTTTACCGGGAGGCTAGCTGTAGCCCTGACTTGGGCCTGAGTCACTGCTTCATGTCCAGTCGTGAGGTTGTGCCTTACTGAGTGCACATCATAATTCCTGCGAGCACAGAGCAGATTACAGTGTTGACATGTGATCCTCGGGCTGCCGCTGGGCTTTGGCTACCCAGGGATTACGATCCACCTGTCCTCACAGCTGTTTCATAAACAGTGCAACTAGCAGGCTACAAGCAACCTAGAGGGAGGGTAATATTTATTCATTAAATAATTAAATGGACTTACAGCATAAGGAAAAAAAATCCAAGCCCTCGGTACTGTCCTGCCAGAAGGGGGGATAGTAAATGATTCCTTCTGCTGGTGTTTTGGGGAATAGGGTTGTTCCATGGGGCTGCAATGGGCATCTTAGCCCGTGGATCTGAGTCCAGCATGTTCAGGGGATTTTATTCTGCACCTTTAACCAGATCCTGGATACCTTAATCTAAACAAGCATTTCCCAAAGTGCAATCTATAAAACATAGGATATCAGAAGGCTTGGAAAATAGTGCATAGTCCCTTATGAGGATTCATGCAAAATTTCTACTAGCAGATTCAACATCTGAGAAGTCTTGCAATGAAGAAAGCTGCTTAACTTTGTTTAACCCAACACACTTATTTGACCGTCCCATCACTGTTGTCACAGGAAAAATACCTATTAATAGCCTGTGGCATGGGCTTTGGAAAACACCTTCCACTTTGAATCTTTATTTTCCAACCTAGAGAAAGCTGCCTTCCTGGGGCCCAGCTACAAGTGTGAGACACACTCCCTCCGGTCCATATGGAGGTAGGCAGTAGTCCCACTAAGGTGACACAGATCAGAACAATGGCCAAAGGTCCTGCTGGAGCCAAAAGGAGACCCTCAAGAACATGGGCAGTTTAGGAAAACTATAGCTCTGTCTCAGGAGGGCAAGCTCTGCTCAGGACCTCACAATTCCACCTTGGGCCTAACATGTCCCTGCTGCATGTGGCCTAGATATCTCCTTGGACTGAAGAGCACCAGTCCCAAGCTCAAAGCCTTCTTTCCCTTTTGAGTAGACATCAAGACAATCTACAATAACCAGACAGACCCAAGGCCTGCTTCTTCTGCCCAAAAGATCAGACTGCATTCACTTTTATCACTCAAGTGCCCCTTACAGACCCTAAAAGACAGGAAGGGCTGGAATCAAATTATGTCTCATCAAGAAAGACAGCACTCTTCTCCCCAAAAGCAAGGCATGAGCTTGCCTATACAAATCCATTCATTTCCTTCTCATCTCTGAGTTGTGTGTGACTGACTCACAAGGAATTGGGCAGAGGGGCTTCACCTATAAAATATCAGCTCCATGACAAATCTTACCTGTCTTGTTCATGATTGTATCCCTTTGCCTGAAATATGGTAGGCATTCAACAAATGTCTGTTGAATGAATGAATGCATAAAACAATGAATGAGTGAATGAGCTTAATCAATCCACCTATGGCAATCTCAAGAAAGAGAATAGTGTATGGTTAAGAACTCAGACAAAAGCCAGACTACCTAGATAAGATCCTGTTCTACCACTTAGCTGCATGACCTTAGGCAAGTTAATAAACTTTTCTGTGGCTCAGTTTTATTGCCCATAAAATAGAGATAATAGGTTGCCATGATAAATTAGTTAGCATATGTAAAGTGCTTACACTAGTACTGGGCACAAAAATATGTGCTTTATAAGCATTATCTCTGTCAAGATCATTGTCATCATCATCATTATTATACCAGATAGAAGAGAGGGTCCAACTGGGAAAATGAACAACAAATTTTACCCAGACACTGAATCCTTTTATTCAACGTTATTTATTGAGCACTAGTGTGTGCCTGGTACTCTCCCAAATTCCTACCTGGGTGCAGGAAAAAGGAAAACATGTTTAAATGTGAAGCCAGATCAGAAGGAGGAACAGCCTTCTCCTGTATGAACACTACTTCTTAGTGACTGTGCATGGCCAGGACTTCAGCCATGAGCTCATGCTCCTATGCCCCAGTCAGTTCCTTATCAATCAAAAGTTCCAAGCCATTGTCTCTTGTCCTAGATATTCAGCCAGCACACGGAAGAACTATGAAATTAATATACTTGGTGGAAGAACTAAGAAGGCCAATGAGCAGCTTTAGGGGAGAAAAGGTATCTCCCTGTTTAACCCTAAGGATATTTTTTATCTGCCCATGACATTCTCAAGATCTAGGATTGATTTTGAGGCCATTTGAAGAGTGATGCAGCAAGAAAAACAAGCCTCATCTCTCAAAGAACTTCTTGACCTAACTAAGAGCCACTGACCCCTTATTCAGGACCTCAGAAGACTGAGGCTGGGCTAAGGATGGAGCTGAGAGGTCAGAGAGTCTCCCAGCAACCCACTCATGCAAGCGCCATTATTCCTAAAGAGGGAAGCCCCACACCATCATCTTCAGAGCAAGCCAGGCCTCTCAGAGTTGCAGCCAGGCCAGGCCAACTACCCCAGACCTGCTGTCAACACCCCAAGAGGTGGGAACTGACAGAGGCTCTGTCTGCCTGGCTCAGTGGCTCCACTATCACTCAGCATGGATGCTTCACAGCCAGGGAAGGAATTTCCCATCTGAAGGTTCCAGTTGCAGCCAGCGTCTCCTTAAAGATGGCCAAATGTTGGTCACCACATCTAGGGGGAAAGCCAACAGGTTCAGGATCATGCGGAATCCCTCCTTATGCTGCCGGCTTTCACCCGGCTCCTCTGCTAATTTCTCGTCACCAAGCTTTCAGCTACATACTTTAGGGAAATGGCACACTGGTTAGCAAGCATCTCTTACTCCAGGGTCCCTCCAAGCTCTCCCCAGAGGCCTCTGCCAGCCCAGACAAGCCATTAGCTGCTTTGCTGGCAAAGCGACTACCAGAAGATCAAGGGCTGAAAGCAGATGCCAGAGAGCAAGGCTGTGCACCTCCCTTGCCAGCAGAGAGCCCAAGAGGTAGGGATGAAGGCCTCAAACGACCCCAGCACCGTATCATCCTGTCCACTCCCTGCTTCCAGGTAGAAGTTCACCTCGGCAGTCCTCATCTGGCTGGTCCTTAAGCACCTAGAAACTTGTCTAGGTGCTTAAGAGGTGAGGCGTTAAGTCCCATGTCCCTTGATTTCCCTAAACCTTGCGATTCCAATCTAGGCCGCCAGGGAACCAGGATGCTGCCGGCTCACCTGAGGCCTCTGGAGCCCGCCGGGGCCACGGCAGGGGCAGGGGCAGGGGCGGGGGCGGAAGAAGCAAGGGCCGCACAGGGGATGAGCTGGGGTCGGCGCCGCCGCCTCTGTGAGCCTGGAAGCCGGGAGCCGAGGTCTGACCCCAGAGCGCTGCTGACTCCGGCCCTGCGCCGCAGGGTCCGCAGGGCGCGGGCCCAAGGTCAGCAGTGCAGCATCGCGCGCACTCACCGGGTTCGGAGGACAGGGCCATGCCGTGGACCCGAAGGGGGCGGCCGCAGGGCTGGAGCAAAGGTGACGCGCTGGGCAGGGCGCACAGCAAGAGCCGCGGAGTGGGGCTGCTGGGCACTGGAGCCAGCCAGGGCCGGGGCGGGCCAGGCCGCGCCCCGCAGCAGGCGCGGGGGCCGGGCGTTCCGAGGGCGCAGCGCCGCGGAGCCCCCGCCGGGCCGGCCCAGCGCCCGGGGGAGGCCGCCTCGGCCGGGAAGCAGCCCGCGCGCCGAGCGCAGCCGGTCGGTGCCCTACCTGGGCGCGGAGCCGGGGAGCGGCGAGGGGAGGGACGGAGGGGCCCGGCCGCCGCCGCCCGCCGACAGGCCTGCCCGCTGCTACCTGAAGCGCCGGGCCGCGCTGCCAGCAGGAAACTTGAGAGCGCCGGGCGCCGCGGCAGCCCTGTCCCTCGGCCGGAAGCGCGCCCGCCGCCGCCAGCCGGGCTCCCCAGGGCGTTCGGGTGTGCCTGAGCGCTTCCCCTTCCCGCTAGAACTTTCCCCAGCACGAGAGTCTGGTGGTCTCCGCCCCCACACAGGTGACTTACTCCCTGTAGCCGAAGTGGCCCGCAAGCATCGGTTTTCTCCCAGGCGTCCGTCTGGGCACTTGGATCACCTCCCCTCCCCTCCTAACACACACACACACACACACCCTCCGCCCCTCTGCTCTCTGGCTTTTACACCCGCCCCTCAAAGTCCGGAATGACCTCCTAGTCGTCAAAGCCGCGGGTGCCCTGCAGCCTGCCTCACTCGCCTCTTCCCAGCATTTGAGCCCGCTGGCCACGCCTTCTTCCCGGGACGCCGGGACTACAGTTTCCAGAGTTGGCCCCTGCTGCCCTCCTCTCTCTCCCCACCTTTCCACAGAGCTGGGTGCCTCTAGCTTCTTGGCCTCCACAGCCTGGCTTTGCACTGTGGTGTTCCCCGGGGTCCCACCGTGCCAGCCCCCTCTCTCACTATACTGGCTCACTCTGGGGATCAGCCACTCCCATGGTGTTAACAACCTCCTGCCTGCTAAGGACTCTGGAACCCCATCTCCAGCCCAGAATGCTCCAGACCTGCTGCAGATGGTGTATCCAACTTCCTGGGGAACAGATCCACTGGTGCTGCCTAGGCCCACAGAAACGTGTCCAGACCCAAACTCCTAATTGCCTCCCACGAACACGCCAGAACCTGCTCCTGTGCTTCCAGTCTTAGTGAATGATGTCACCGTGCACCAACTCCCCAGGCCACATTTGGGAGTCATCTTTGCTGCTATCTCCCTTTCATCTCTTGCAAGTTAGGTACCAAGCAGGGAAAGGAAACTTCATTAATGAGCACCCACCATGTGTCCTCATGTGCCAACTGCTGTCACATAGTTGTCTCATTTAAGCACCAAGTTGTCTTCCTTCTACCTCATAGCCTGATATTTACTATTATATTTATTTATAAATGATATACACATGAAGCTGCATTATATCTTATATATTATAATATATATAATTATATAATATATATTATATATTATAAAGCACATATATTATATATTATAAAGCACACTGAAAACATTAAAGGATGTAAAGAAGAAACAATAATTTAAAATTACTTCATTCTTAATGAATAGTACAATATACCTTTTTCCTTTCACTTTAAAGTTATTAGCAATAATCTGTTTAGTGAGGGCAACATGATTTTAACAAATCTTAGTTTAATATTTTATGAGACTAGAAAGTATGCTTCTAAGTTAATGTCAACACTTGGTCCTAATGGCTATTATTGTTTATTTAATAAAAAAGATATCTCACAAAGATTATATAGACTCAAATAGAAGAACTCTATCTTTACACTTATTAAATCATAATTCTTACTGTTTATATCCTCCCATCTACCAATTCTACAAATGTGAAATTCCACATTAAAACTCTTCTTTATCCATGAAGACAATGTTCTCAATAATGTTTTTATCAGCTGGTCTTGCAAATATTTTTAACAAATAGAATTTTTTTAAACTCTTGAAACTCCATACTTGAAAGATTGTAAAATGGGTTTAAAAGTATGCTTCTAAACTTTACAGATTGTGATTATGGGAGTATAGGTGACAATTATACATTCATTTTGGCATTAAGATCACGTAATAATGGAAAAAGTTCCAAAGGTCAATTTTCAAAGTGCTTTTCCCATAATATGACTCTTTTAAAACATGGTTATTATCTCAATTTGTTACTAAAATATCACCTTTACCTGAGAAGACACAGTGTGTGTGTGCATATGTGTGTGTTTCTTTCTACTATGCAGCACACTTGTGACAGTCACAATGCAACGTATCAGAGGTCAGCAAATTTGGAGCACTTGTCCTTTTGTTAAAGAAACTCATCTTTTAATTCCATACCTTTCAATTCTTTGCCTTGAGATAATTAATAAATCTTTGAGTCATATAAAAGATTTTCAGTCTCATTTCATATCTCACTGCAAAGTATTATAAAGATTCTACCATATTTTAAGGGTTTTTTTCCAAAGTAACCATATTGTTGCCATCCTGTAGTATTTTGTGCTATTCTAGCTTCAGCTTCTTTATTGTTGTAGCCTGTAAAACAATGATGCAATTGCTAAGTTTCCCACGTAATCTGTCCTTCAACCCCGACTTTCATATTCCAGATAGGGCAGCCACTCCATCAATGGTTACTTTTACACATAAAAACTACAGCATGTTCATGTTTTACCAAATATGTCATTCACTGTTGTGAACATATTTTTCCTTTAGTAGATCACAAAAAGTATTTCATTACAAATGTCATCAACAAAAAGTATGGCAGGCCAGGCAAGGTGGCTCACGTCTATAATCCTAGCACTCTGGGAGGCCAAGGCGAGAGGATCACTTGAGGTCAGGAGTTCAAGACCAGCCTGAGCAAGAGTGAGACGCTGCCTCTACTAAAAATAGAAAAAAATTAATTGGAAAACTAAAAATATATAGAAAAAATTAGCCAGGCATGGTGGCGCATGCCTGTAGTCCCAGCTACTCGGGAGGCTGAAGCAGGAGGATCGCTTAAGCCCGGGAGTTTGAGGTTGTTGTAAGCTAGGCTGATGCCACAGCACTCTAGTCCGGGCAACAGAGCGAGACTCTGTCTCAAATATATATATATATCAAATACTTAAACATGTTAGCAACTTGCATCCAACTATATAGCCAACATTAAAACACACGGGTCCTAAAACCTTTTCTTCAAACTTCAGTGTTTCCTGTGCATCCTTCAGCAGAATGCATTTTTATGTGTCAGCATGTTCTCTCCATACTAATTCAGTCACTTTAACCATGGCAAATAAAACACCTATTTTTACCAATGATATTGACTGACATTTTGTCTTTTACTATTAAGAAGCTTCAAAAGAGATTTCTAAACATTTTTATTACATTTGGTAATAGTTCACAAAAATACACAACTAAGCAATTACATAACTTGGAATATCCTTGAAAAAAAAATGTAGAGGTTTGTCTTCATGCTCTGGGTTTGTAGAATTCATATGTCTTGCTGATCATGATGTCATATTTATATTATTATTAGCTAATATCTCAAGGCCCAATATAGGGTAATATAAATCATATTTCAAGCAGTCTTTTTATAAATTTTAACTTCTTGGTTGACTACCTTGTCAGACCTGACTATGTCATCGTAATGGATCTCATATTAATAGTGGAAAATTATTGGCTCTGCTGTTTTCTAGGTTTGCTTTTGCTTGCATTATTCTTGTTCAGTCTATATTCCTTGCAGGAATGTCTTCAAACCACTTGTCCCTTTTGTGAGAATAGTTTAATTAATGATAGATAGATAATGTAATCTATCTATCCATTGTCTGGGATACAAATAATTCATAAGACCCAGTAATACACTTGAAAGCAACTGGACCAATGACGGTGCCCTTGTCCCGTCCGCTCCTGTGTCACAGAACCTCCTCTCTTCCCTGACTATGCCTCTGATGTGACACACGACAAGGACATCTGACCCGCAAGCTAAATAAGGGTGCCTGTGTCAATCCATATGGTATTAGTGAAGTTCCATTTCTTTATTTTTAGACTAAAAAAAAAGTAGAAATAGATGCTTTAATTTTTCTTTTACATTTCAATGGATCATTCTGCACACCCCATTTTGAAGATCAGCGAGATAATCCATCTCTTCCATTGTGTCAGTGCAATGAGAGCGCCACCTAACTGGTCTCTCCAACACAGCTGCCTCCCCACCCCACCCCAAGCAGCAACACCACCACCAGTCTCTTCTCCAGCTTTGTCACCTGGGGCAGACATCCTGTGTCATCAACTCCTCCAATCTGCCCTCCGCTCCGCTCACTGAGACTCTGGAACACCTAGGAGAGCACGTGGGACCAGAGCTACGGTTACCCCAGGATACTCTGATTCTGATGCTCTGGGGAATGAGGGTTATTCAAGCATTTTTGGAAGCCAAGAGCTGTTAGGGGTCTCGGCTTCAGTCCTCCCCAGCCCCCCACTAATGCTGTCCCCTGAATAATTGTTTCACAGTGCACACACACATTCAAGATGGGCATGGTCTCTGAATACTCAGTTTCTCTATCTCCTTTTACAATCTCCTGTGCTACAGAGGCCAAAATTTCCCCTCAGGAAGCAACAGGAGAAGGGCTGTGCTTCTGAGAGTGCTTTAACCAAGCCTCATTGGATACAGTCTGTTTTCAAACCAAAGCGCCCCAGGGCCTCCTACTAATTGAGTGGACTGACATCACGGCATATGGT